CGTCTGAGATGTGCTGAGATGCAGGTCTGTCCCCAGGTCAGCAAGGGAACATGCAGCCTAAGGCCCGAGTAAACTTAAGCAAAGAAAACTGTCAATAGAGCCCTACATCCAGATGTGTGAGTCATTGGCGAACGACAGTCCAGTGATAGGCTCTGAAGGTTTGTGCCATTGGTTCATAGCTGTAACGAGAGATCTCGGTCTTACTCGAAGAGTGTCGCGAGCGGTAATGAAGCAAGGAGGCTTAAAGTTGGAATTTCCTAAAAGCATCTGGATTTCCTCCCTTTTGGTACAGGTATCCTGATGCGGCGGCTCGGGGCCTGAGGCTGCGGGAGTGGAGGCGGCCTGAGATGGGTTAGAGCGCACTTCGCTTCACCTAGTGATGCAAATCACCTTCACATGCAAGCACAACCAAGCTTATTTTGCTGTATGCATCTGTAGGTAGTTGTTGAGGATTTGATTTCTCTTGGAGGCCGCCTGCCAAGGCCAAGCGAGTGTTCGTGTTCTAACTTCGGATAGACAACGCTACAATAACAGGGCTATCTTTTGGAGAGTTGCATCGGTAACAGGCTGGGCAGCCGAAACCGAGCTAAAGAATGAAGGGATTGACTCAATAGGACGACGGAATACTTATGCATGAAAAAGAAAAAACAGCTACTTTCACCACAAACGCTGAAGAGGAAGAAAACGACTTTGGAAATGACCCAGAGGTAGAACCTCCGGACATTGGGGCTGTAAATGCACTGGCCGGACAGAAAATGGGAAAAAAAGGGGAAGCAGGCAGCAAGCAGCGCAGTCAGTACGAGTGGCGAACTTGCTTCCTTTGTAACCCAACGTGGGGCCGACTTATGGGGCGAAAGAGATGAGATTCGGACCCGCAGGTTTACCACGAGCCAACCTTGTGCTTATACAAGTTCGTACTAACGGTAAGGGTTTGCTAATCCTACTTAATGCGGGATTCGAAGTGGATCTGATTTCGTAGGTCACGGCAAGTAGATGCAGCTTAACTGTCTATTCATTGTATAAATTTCTGAGACTTCATTTCGTGGATGGTAGGCAGACCAAGTGAACCGGTGAAAAATGGAGTAAAATGCGACCTTATTCTCGAATTTCGGTCCTATAGCAATGATACGGCACTTTTACGTTAGAGCAATTAACCACGACATAATCCTGGGTATGCAGTGCATGACTCAATGGACCGCGTAGATGCGGCTCCCAAACAACGCTGCTGTTGTTTCTCGGCCAAGACGCAGTGATAATGCGCACCCCTCAGCCTTCTCAGCGCCTTCTCATCCGTTATGGAGAGAGAAGTGGAGGAGGGGTTTCAATGAAAAAGGAGCGTGAAGGCTCCTACGCAATGCAGAGGTGCTGCAGGAAACGAAGGCGTAATGTAAACATTCCGTCGTGATGGTCTTGTAAAGGTCGCAGTTTCGGGTTATTCGATCCAGTTAACACTGGATAGATGCACAGCAGAACTGTAAACAATTGAAGAAATAGTTCCCATTTGCACTTAATGACGAAGAGCTACTAGCGGCCAGGCCAGCCGCTCCACATTCACCACACGCATCGAACTCATTCCAGACGGCCCCACGGTTCGTTCGCTGAGCTCAACAACGGGCGAGTGGTTAAGCGCTACAGCACAAACAGCGACCCCTTTTGGTATGCGACGAAGCGGCGAATCCGTCAATTATAGATCCCAGCTTCACACCGCACAGAAGGTCTGCTGATGAGAAGATCTGCTGAGCATGCACGATCATGCTTTAGCGCGTCCTTGTGGGGTCAAAACAACTGTGGAGGGAGTTGCCAGGTTTTTGAGGCAGGCTATGATAAGCCGCTAAGCCAAGGAATATTTCCTCACCCGTCCGGAATGGCAGCCGCATATGCAGAGATACGCCTTCCAATGAGGCCTCTTGCAGAGTTCTCCGATTTGTGAACGGATCTGGACGGATATCTCAATGAATTTCGTACTCGGCTTACCAGAGGTCAGCGAATACGATAATGTCTACGCAGTCGTGGACTGACCAAGCAAGTGCAGGCACTTCATCTTCCGGAGATGTTCCCTTACAGCTGAAGGAGTGACACGATTATTCATTTATCATGCCTTCAAGCTTCATTGTTTCCTGAAGGGCATCATTATTGACAGGGACCCGAAATTTGTTAGCAGCTTCTGGCGCGAATTTACGAAGCGGCTTAACATAGACCACAACATAACCATCGCAAACGATTCGGAACCAGACGGCCAAAATTAACGAACTAACCGCACGCTCGTGCAGTATTTGAGACTCTATATCCAACAGAATTCATTTAAGTGGCTTGAATTTCTTTCGTGAACGGAGTGGGTTTGTAATAAAACAGTGCACTCGTCGACCCGTTCTCTCCAGCATCTCCCGTATACACTGAAACTCCGTTATTTGACATGGCATTAGAGCTGGTTGCTCGAAGTCAACCCTGTAGGACGAGGTGTTCCTGCTTTCATACACAGCACGTAGCAGCGCTGGAACGCATGAGAAAAGCACAAGAAGACCAGGCCAGAAACTACGGCGAAAGACGTTCAGCAGTCGCTTTCAAAGCAGGCGACTTGGCTTTAGTGAATTCGCACGCCCGACTAAAGGGTAGTTAGCCCACCATATTCCCAAGGCGATGGGGATGGCCTATGGCTAGTTCGGCGGGGCTCCGGTCAACACCCTTATTTTTTCCATGGTTTGGTTCTGGGTCTCACCCTTTTGGAGATTGCTGGGCAACCCCACACCCGCTTCGACGACGGCGGCTCGGGAATTCCACGATCGCTCAGATAATTGCCACATGTATATATCAAAGACTGGCTGGCAGCAGCCTCACTGTAGTGTGCAGGCGCTACAATCGTACTCAGATTGAACCCACAGGGGTTGCTTCAGTAAAAACAGCAGAAATAATTCACTTTTTGAAATAAATCAAAAACATTAGACAGGATGTAAGTCTAGCAGTCCAGGAGTGCTCTGCAGCTACAAGGATCTGGGGCTGAACGACTGACTCGCACTGTAGCCAGGAGGTTGACCCGCGAGGGGTCAAAAATATATAATCACCATCACAACTTTCTTCCCCTTTTGAGAACGTTTAACGGGGAAATAGCGAGAGACGGCCTTTTGATAATTTAAGGATACTATAACTGTCAAGCGTTGAGTATAACGTGTATACATAGGTTGTGCACCCAAGTAGTTATGCGGCGGGTCGACTAGTAGTGACGACTGGGAACGCAGTGGGCTAGGCGTACCGTCCTTCGCGGTGCTCATGTAACAAGAGTCTTCAGTCTCACCAAAAAAAACCCTAGAGAACTGCAGTCCAGTCGAAATACTTAAGATACGCGTTTCCAAGAACAGCTGACCTCCTCTCCTATCACCAGGCAGCCTGGGTCCGCTGGCCTAATGCCCTGGAGCTTGAGGAGTGGCCTGATACGGGCTACAAAGCACTCTACTGCAACCTGTGCTGCAACGCTACTCCACACGCACGCACAACTAAGCCATATGGCTTCAGGCACTAACACTATGTTGAGCGCTTGCTTGGCCCTCAGTGGCCAGCCTGCACGCATATAGGATTACATAGACCAGCTTCACATAGATAATGCTATGCCGCTGCAGCTTGTACTGCAAAGAAACCCCAAATGTAAACACAACATAACCCCTTCAGCTGCATGTACTAACACCACTGACCACATTTCAACGCGTTCTCGCTCTTGCATGGCATGCAAACAAATAGGGATAGCCATGCTGTAATGCCCCTGGCGTTCGACAGCAGACGTCGAGGCTAAACCCTAAATGTTGCATGCTCTACCTACAGTTAGCACAGGAGCCTTCACTTATGTTGCGTTGTAAGCGAATGCAAACGTTCTATAAGGGTATTCAGAGGTAAAGCAGGCAGCAAAGCAAACTTCGTTTAAGCTTCCCTGTGTGCACGCGTGAGGCTGGCTTGCTTAACCAGCCGCACCGGGATGCGCTGCAATCCCACTTCAGGCTGCCTCCTCCCCGCAACACCCGGGCCATGATCTCAACGCCCAGCAGGCTTGATGGCAGGGGAACGAGATCAGCTGATTTCGGGAAACGATTTAAGTCCTTCCGTGCAATGCAGCTCGCTCCTGTAGTTGACCGGGGCCACACAGCAAAAGCCATACTAAACCCTAAACCCTAAACCCTAAGCCCACCTGTACAACAGCATAGCAGGCAGCTTTTTGATCATTCCCCGAGCTCGGCTTTTGGACTCCCAGTTGTCAGCTTTCACGCCCTGTATTCATTCTCTGTTATCGATTTCGCTCTCGGGGTGTTACAGATGCTACGCCCGATTATTAACCCCTAGTTTGACCTAATATACTAAAATGTGGCCTTAAATTCATTTTCGAGTCCAATCCTTTTCAAAGAGAAGCCAGAATAATAATAATAATGAAGCCGATCTTGCAGTGTGAAGTGAGCTAGGGCCAGTTCAGCTCGTGTATGTGTTATCCTGCTGCACTAAGCCAGAAATTACCCGTCTCCGTGCAAAAGACTCCAGATTCATACCTTAAAGAGCATAAAACCGCATTTTCCAACGAAATTCTCCCCCTGAGCCCACAGGGGTCACGGTGCAGTGTTAACCTCATAGCCAGCCCCATTCCCAGTGAGGCTGTCGAGCACATTTAGCCCACAGGCCCTACTTCCAGCATAAATTAACTTAGTTTATTTCTGATGAGACTTTATTTACATTGTTTCTGCTGAGGAGACCTCTAGATGTCTCGATTGAGATATATTGTAGTGCTCGTGCACTACGCAGGGGGCCCCCCAGGGGCCCGTCTGCACTAGGAGTAGGGGTATTCGCCTTTGCTCCCCTACTGTTTTTGTCACCTCCCTTATCAGTTTAAAGTCACCTGAAGATTTTCGCTGACACGTATATCTCTTGTTTCCCTGCCCGGCCGTGTTCCCCCACAGCGGAAATCCCGCCACCCAAATTATAGTGCAGAATTCACAGCTTACAAATCACTCGGATAAACGGACTAGAAGATGTTCATTGCCAGAAATGCCACTGCTGTCTGCGGCGGCGTTCCTGGGTCTACGCGCACTCGGATTCCGTTTGCCGTAATTCCTCAACGATTGCAACAGCATACCCAACAGAAGCAGGAGCAACAGCAGCTCAAAACGAGGCACAGTTTTGCGCCGCCTGTGGGCTTCGCTAGTGGCGGGTGTTTGCAGCAGTTTCCGTTCGATTGTTTTCCTCTGCAGCTTCCTGGTCTGACTTCCCTATGTGGGTCTGTTCGCTGGTTGACATTCCACCCACAGAGAAGAGTTGTTGGACACCGCCTCGTAAGTTACGCTGCACTTCTAAACCCTCACGCGTGTTTCAGGTTTAATGGATGTTGAATTCCTGCTCAAGCTCCGAAAGGCTACCCAGGAATTGAGTGATATAGATTCTGTATACACAAATATATTTTTCGGTGTACACCGTGAAAACACTTAGCGGGCCCCAGTTGCCCACCCACGGCGTATGTTTGGAGCTTGTCTGTTGAAATGCGTCTCTTGTACGCCGCAGGAAATCATGGCGGGGAAGCACAGAAAGCGTCGCTTGGTCCCGCCCAAGGTTCCGCTCCACCCTTCTGCTGCAGCGGCGGCAGCAGCAGCAGAAAGGGCAGCCCCTGGGGTCACGACACCGGCTGCGCCCCAGCAAGACATGACTCTTTTCGAGACATATAGAGACTTACAGCTGCGGTGGAAGCGAACGACGCGGTAAACGCATATATACTAAGACCCTGATTCGTGAAGCCCTTAAACCTAATCCTTCTCCCCGCCTTTACCGGCCCCCCCTTTCCCCCCCCCTTCCCCCCGCCTCCCCCTGCTCTGTTACCTCCTAAACCCAAGCCCTCAGTCTGAACCTAAACCATACACGTTAGCCAAGTTTTAGGCGCAATATTTAGTTGTGGCCAGTACCCCTACTTGCCTCAGCCTAACGCCGTAGGCCCTAATAAGGCACTAGACCCTCAGTCGTAGCTGAACCTAGAAGTTTAGGGCATAGCTAACGTCGAGACTTTAAGTCTTAGCTAAGCCCAAACCGCGATGTCCTGTTTATGCTCGGGACCCTCGGCCTCATCTTTCTGGGGCAGCGATGGGTTTGGGGAAAGCTCTTGCGTTTTGTTGCTGCCTGTCGTTGTCTCATCTCAGGCAGTCGCGGAAGAAGTTTTGCATTGCGCGCAAATGGCGGCAGCATTTGGCGTGTCAGCCGCAGCCGGAGCCCTCGTGGCTCCTCTTTCTTCACCCACAGATGGGTCCACCTGCAGGGCGTGCGGAGGCCCATGGGGGGCCCCCAAAGCACCGTAGAATCGGTAGGCGCAGGTCCGCTGCGCCGGAGCTACACGCTTGCGATAGCAGCGCAAACGAGCTGCAGCAGCACGCGCAGCAGTCATCTGCCCCACACCGCCAAGAACGACCCACGCAAGAAGAGCAGCAGCAACACTTGCAGGCGAAAGAAGACCTAAACCAACAGCGCCACCCACAGCAAGAGCAGCAACAAGAGCAGCAAGTGCAGCAGCAGGCAGCAGCGGACTATGTGGGTGCATTCCAACGGATTCAAGGCACTCACGGAGAGAGACCTCCGTTCCGCCTTTCCTACGACCCGAAGGAAATTTTTTGTGTCTTCAAAAGCAGCGTCTCTGCGCAACACAAGGCAAGATAGCTTCAACAGCAGCAGCGCCAGCAGTAGTAGCAGCACAACCTGCCCTACGACATAAAGTACGCAAGAAAGCTGGCAAGCAGGAAAAGTTAAGCCTAGGAAAACTGTCGTGCCGGTCTGCAGGTGACAGTGGGGGACCTCGTCCAAACTGAGAAACTACACAGGAAGCAGGCGGGTGAGGGGCGTAAGAGCAGTCCAAAGATTATGCTGCAAAACACTAAGCTTGGATGGGTTTTGTGCATGTACTTTTGCATGTTTCAAGAGTACGAACAGGCTGAGACGCACATATCTCTACACGCGTCAATAATGCATCCCTACACGCGCAATTATGAGCACACGCATGCGTAAGAGCATGCCTACTTTACTAATTCCACACACCAGAAGGTGCATACATAAGATAATAGATACATACGCGTGCACGTACTACACAATGATGCATATACCCGCACACACGCGCACAGAGGCATATGTTTAGATATGCATGAAAGCCGAACTCCGGCTACCCGATGTGAGGCGCAGGCGATAAAGTTGTGTTTGGAACTGTCCTCCTGGCCGGTACTCGCGAGTGGACTCTACTTGGCAAGCCGACGTGCGCCCGGATGCTTCCATGCACCCATTTACGCAGCCCCAAAGCACCGCTAATGCTGAAGCAGGACGTAGTTCCTAGAGAAATTGCCTCAAGGAAGCATGAGCAGCTAAGGGTTTGCCTGGATTGAGGCGTCTAGTGGGGTATAGGGTTTGAGGGCTCTACGACTGGGGTGTTTGGAGCGCTTCAGGGTTCCGTTTGCCCGCGTGAAAGGCGTTATTGAACAGCAGGTCGGTCGCGGGCCGGAGAGCCGCTGAAATAGATGAGGGCGGGAGCATATCAACGGATAAGTGAAGCAGGGAATTGCCAGGTAGATATAATAGTATTGACTATTCTTAATGCCTGCATGACGCTAGGGTGAGGCTAAGCTGCTGCCGCGTGTGCCTTCTTCAGACTTTGGCTGGGGAGACGCTGAGCTTCCGCTACAGGAAGACGCGGCGCTCGTCTCGCTTTCTCAGGCAAGCAGAGGCCCTTGGGCATGCGAATGAAATAAAAATAAAACAGAATATAACAGGCGGTGTGACTGGAGGGCAAACAGCGCAGAGGGACTATTGACGGCATAAGATAGCGCAACCCATGATTGCAAGAACATAATTGACTGCGTTTATATGTTGTACTGTCGTTCGTGTGCAACTCCAAAGTCTTAGTATCGCAAGGAGCTATAGGATCCCCTGCCTTTGCTTGACATATCCGTGACATCTCCCGTGCGGCTAAGGCGCTGAACCTTATAGGGCTCACGGCGAAAATGAGTATAGAAATGACATAAGCAAAAGAGGAACGTGTAAATATAGGAAGCATATGAAGTATCAAAAGGTTTTTCGGTGGTTCTGCAGAATTCGCCACTGGGTAACATTGATCCGAATTGAGGAAATTGAAGTCGACGTTCAAATGAAGGTATTTCTGACATCACCCTTCTCCATCACCTCTCCTCCAGCCTTTTTGTATTGTCCATGCAGACATATATGCTTGCATTCGTGAAAACATGCCTGCATCCATGCGTGCCTGGTACATAAACCTGTGGGCGGTACTTCGCCCGACAGCCGTCAGGGAGCGATGGATCATCGTGTGAATTTGCTTCCTGTGCATGTGCGGGCTTCACGTATGGAACAGGACGACCCTCCACCCCAACCGCCACGGCGACTGTTGGACCTCTGGGCCAATCGCTGGCTATACCCTGAAGAACTGGAAGGTAAGAAGGATTCAACGTGGGCGCAAAACCCCTACCGCTGATGTAGGAGCAGTAAGAGTGGTAGCGACGCCCCACAGCGGCTGCTGCAACAGGAGCGGCAAGAAGCGCCCGGGCGACAACTTCTTTAGTTGGCTTGCGGCAAGACGTGCAGCAGCAAACATAACAAGGTGCAGCTTCCGCATGCCGCTGTCCAGCTTCTGTTTGCCGCTGCAGGTATAAGGACCGACGCTAGCGGAAGGCCTTTAGTAGAAGGTGAGCATTTTGCTAAGGTGGAGGAATTTTTTCGGGCAGAAGATAGGGCACTGAATGAAGCTGCGGCGGCAGAAGCTGCAGCAGCAGCCACACGTGGGGCCTTATTGGGGGATTCATGTGCACTGGCTTGAATTTGTTCAGCTATATACGATGGCGCTGAGCACCAACAAGGGACGTACCACCGAAGGGGCTTGACAGCGTGCTACAGGTTTGCCCCCTCCTGCTGCTGCTGTTGCTGCTGCTGCTGTTGCCGCAGCGATACTTATGAACATGTCTTTGGTCTACTTGTGCAATGTTTAACAGGTGGCAGCCGGATCCCAAGGCAACGCACTGGAGACGATGAGTCTCGCGCCATCGGGTTCTTTTAGGGATTTTTGGTGAATTGAATGTTGGCGTTTGTGTCGCAAAAGAGTAAGAGGAGGTAGTGGGGACAAGCCCTCAATTGTCAAGGCCAACGGATAGGAGGGCTGTTTGTTGACCACGAAGGGCAGTAGACCATTGTTGATCCACTGAACCGGCCAGCAAGCCGCGCACATCTGCAGCTGTCTTGCGCTATCTGCTGCTGCACGCTGTCGCTGCGCGTCTGTCAAATCAGATGTCGAATCCGATGAGTGGCTGGAGCATCTCCATGGCGGCTGCGAAGGCTCCAAAACCCAGACTACCCACAAACATTGCTCGAGGCCCTCCTGTAGGGACGCAGGTTGCAGCAACAGAGGGTAGTGACTTGTGAGCTTCGTCTCAGTGTGCATCAGGGCAACAGCAATAGCAAACTCCATAAGCAAACCCAACTTTCAGTTAGAGCGCCTAAGACCTTGAGACGGTTTTTTTGGGTCGGCAGTTGTAGGGTATTCAGGCCCCGAAGGGCATGCACAAGCTTTTAGGTTGAGGGTGCACTTTAGGCATTAAAGCTGAAGGTGGTCGGATGGAAAAAAATATTTACCTCTGATTGACAACATGGCTCCTGTCAAACAACCGCCATAAACGGCTCCACGCAGGTCGTGGGTTGCTCGTGCCTGAGTGAGACACGAAAGGCCACAATGTACAGACAGCCCCCTGCTGCGTTTTCACTGTAAGGCTATGCGGCAATGGCAAAGAAACCAAAGGTGAGAAGACGGAAGAATGGAATAGAGGAAGTCAAACACATAAGCCCGATAGTGCGATAGCTAAAGACTATCGGCCAGGGGGTGGGTTCGGGAAAGAGCTGCCTGGTCATGCAAATTTGCCGTGTCCGTACACTTCACCTTGTCAACTATGCACTCAGACAAGGAATAGAGGCCTCCGATTTTTGCAAAGTTTTTTGCTGTCGCGGCGACATCTGGCACGAAGGATTTGTATTGCTGCCTCAGCTGCGCCCGCAGGCCCAAAGAGCTATCAACGTCTACAGGCTTCATCGTGAAGAAGAAGGCGCCGAGAACAATCCCTGCCACACTCAACACAATATAAGACAATATAAAAAGATAGCACACATCAGTACAACACAGCACAACATAATTCAAAGCGGCACAAAGCAACACAATACAGCACGACAGAGCGCATAACACAATGCCTCTGCATAAGAACGCAACATATCAAAAACATGAGGCAGTACAACGCAACGCGGCACACCACAACAGCGTAAAAAGCAGCGCCGGGAGTCGCACTACAACGGAGCAGAAGACACAGCAGCAGAGGACGGCACTGCGCAGCTGAACATGCAGTAGCTTTCAGTGTAGTGACTGCATTGCTAGCAGCGGTAGTTCCTGCCCCGTGGAGCAGAACTGGGGGGCTGCATACAGAGCACAACTGCATAAAAAGAGAAACTCTCAACGCGCAACCGGCTGAGGTGTTGTCACTTGGGAGGCATATATTGTACACACTACACCAGAAACGGAGTGGAGGATCTTAACGCCGCGGAACCAGGCCTGAAGGGCTGCACGTCTTTGGAACTATGTACACATACTCCTGGGCGTCAAGTCTACCAGCCCACAAAAGCCTAACACCCAGGTCCTTGGTACACAAAGGCCTGGGCCGTTGAGGCTCCGAAGCAGTAAACGTCGGCGCAAGGAATCCCGGCACCCGGGGTCCACAATACGGTGATGCTTACCCAGTAGGCCGCCCCCAACGCTTGTGGTCGCTGCCCTGAGGATACAGCCATCATTTATAAACTTTTCTACTGCTCTTTGAGCCCTGAGTTGCTGGAGGGCCTCGGCTTGTCTCTGTGCGTCTTCTCCGGCCTGCGCTGCAAACAAGGTCAAGTTGCGGTACTGAGGGGTCAAGAACACAGACATGGGGTGGCTGCGCACCGTAGGTGGCAGCGGCTGCTGTGCGCCGCCTTCCTCTTGAAAGAGCGGTTCCCCAGGGGCCCCGTGCACGTGTGGGTCCCCCCCCGATGCTTCAGACATTGAACGGACAGTCCCTGCCACCTCTAAGATCCTGTATGTACTACAAACGCCTCCCCAGTTCCTGAATTCAACAGGCTGATGTTGGAAAGAAGGCAAGTCAGTCGTGATCGAAGTGCCGTAGTAAGGCTGCGGAGCTCCTCGAGCAAAGAATACCCCACAAAGCAGGTTAGGAAGCCGTTGTAGTGAAGCGGCTAAAGTGCCTCAAAGATAGACTACTAAAAGCAGTTTAACATCACCCGTCTTGGCAGCCCGATGCTGCTGTGACTCTCAAATTTAGAAAATTGAAAAACCCTTCGGGGGCCCCNTCGGGGGCCCCTGGACTGCATGCACACTCATTCTTCACACCTTCATCTGCCTTTTTTAGGTACTTTGTATACATTTGTATTTAAGCAGCGTTTGTTGCGGCAAAGGACCCATGTAGAACGTCGTCTCGCGCAGCTTCGTGCGTTGGAGCAGCAATAACTCGAATGGCCACGGCTGACGCAAGTTATGGATACCAGCATCTATGATTTGCGTCAGCCTTAAGAAAGGACATCTGGCGATGGGGACGTTGTAGGCTTTGCAGCAGGAGACTAAATGGGGCTCTCTCTGTTGGCTGAGGATGCATCAGCAGCATCATCATCAGCAGCAGCATCTCCTGCTGCTGATACTTATGCCAGTGAGGGCCCCTCTCTCAATTGGTGGCAACAACGGCAGCTGCCAGTCTTAGCATCTGCGGAGAACTCAGGGGTAGTTCTGCTGCTGGGGGGCGCGGAAGGCTCGGCAGCACTGCGTTGCTCCGTCCTTCTCCCACTGCTGCTGCTGCAGCACGGCTGGGCCCCCCAGCCTACTCACAATCCGTGGGAGCAGCAGCACATCCTAGTGGCTGTGGAGACGAGCTCCTCAGCAGACTCTGCTGCTGCTGCAGCGAAGGCTTGGGGAGGCGGCTGTTACGCTTCTTGGGTCGCCACACACAAAGGCATCCTCAGAAGCAGCAGGAGCGCCAGTAAGGACTCAATCTCCCCGCCTCGTTTAGTGTATCTTACGACCAGACAGCTTCTGCAGCGGCTTCTGCAGCAGCCGCTGCTACCTGGCTGCTGCGTCGCAGCAGTTGAGGTGTCGCTACAACACAGCTTTAGCACCGAACTGCTTCTCCCGCTCTTACAGAAAGTGCGCCAGAAAAGGCCTTCTCTGCGGCTGCTGTTATTGCTGCCTCCTGCATCAGTGCAACCTCATTGGGCCCTCCAACTGACGGAGTTTTTCGCGGGAGGTGAAGATCCAGAGGCGCCGGGGACTGGAGTGATGCCACAAGGCGCGCTGGATGTCCTTCGGGCTGCAGTGCAGCAGCAACAGGAGCTGCTGCTACGTTTCCTCACTCCCAAAGGAGGCCGGTGGGATGTAAAACATCAACAGCAGAAGCACAGTGCGCGGCAGCAAATAAAGGGGCAGCGCCCCTCTCCTGGCTCACATGTAAGGGCAACGGCAACAACAACAACGCCGCCGCCCCAGGCGGTAGAGAATGTGGAACTGTTAGAAATAAGCAGCAGAAGCAGCCGGAGGAGCAGCAGAAGCAGCAGCAACGTTTCGTGTATTGCCTCCGATGAAGTCATGGTTTTAGGTGTCACCACGGCTCAAGATCACGACACTCATGGGCGGTTTTCCAAGCGCAAAAAAACCAAAAGGAAAGACAAGAAGAAACTGCAGCAGCGCCTCAGGAAAGTACAACGGAAGCTTGAGAAATTCAGCAGCAACAGCGCAATCAACCGCAACTTGGTAGGAGGAGAAGCCGTCTGCATACAGACGGATACTTTGGACGCTTCGAGGCGGCCAGCCCAATTCGTTCATGAGGCGTCGCACGCAGTACATCCAGAGGGGAGCAGCGGCGAAGAGGCCTCTCCAGTGCGGCGGGATGATTCTTCACTGGATGTGGAAGCTAGAGGTGACGGAGCGGCGGAGGCGCCAAAGTGCACGCAGCCAAAATGCATTACGCCTGAGGCCTCTGCAACGTCCCTCAGGGGCCAACGGTGCCCAGGAGGGTCTTCTGCCTCCAAGACACGTCTATTGGCTGTGTCTGTACTCTCTCTCGCCCCGCCAACTCACCCTGTTGCCGTCCGCTACCTTAAAAAACCCACATCGAACTTCGTCCGCGCAGCCGCAGCAGTCGGTGGGTTCCATCTGCTACTCCTGTCTCCTACCGTTGGGGCTCCTGCTGGTTCTAGCTCTGTCTTTTGCTTTGCCCTGCTGCGAACCCTTGAGTGCTGTTGCTAACGTGGTTGGGCACCTGCTCGAGGTGCGCAATGCATGCAGCTGGCGCCGCTGCTATCGGCTCTGCTCCTGCTGCTGTCGTGCCTGCGTTGTGCTGCAGTGTCGCGGCTTGTTGCTTCTGCTACGGAGGACCCTGCCAGCTGTTCCTCTTTTGGGTCCATTTTTGTTTTTGTACCATCGCCCGAAGACGTCACGGCTCTAACAGAGTTGCTCCAGAAGCATCTGCAGCAGCTGTTGAAGCAGCAGCAACAGCAGCAGCAACCAGAGGAATGCCCGCAGCGCCCAGTGGAGATTGTGTGTCTCGCCCCAGGTACGGACGTGAGCTTCCTGAAGCGAAGTTCTCCTCCTGCTTCTGCCATCTGTCCACTTTGAACGTTCCGACAACTCCCTTTCTGTTTCCGCGCTTCTCCTCTGGTAGTCGGTTCCTGTCGAGGCATTTGCATGCTTCTCCCTCGGCAGTTAGCGCACACAGAAGTACGTACGATAGGTGAAAAGTAAATGTATGTCCACCCTGCAAACCGTGGCGTAGATCTGTGCTTCTGGTCGATACAGATTTGAGCCCGTCGCTGCCTCCCCCCTCTTCAGCGCTGCGCATTATCATATCTTCTGGTGTTTTCCCTCCGTGCGTTTCTCCTCATGCCCTGCCTGTGAAGTTTGTCGTGGACTGTGTATACACCAGAAAAACCGTATTTGACTCATATTTGCGGCTGAACCGGGTCTGCAATGTTCCCATTAGTGGGGCCATCGCGGATTTGCGGGCGTCTTTAGCGGGAAGGGCTACGGAGGGGGGATGCTGCTTCAGGCTATGTACAGCCGATGCCTTTGCTGCTGCGTGCTGCCGAGGGGCTGCTGCATTGGCTGCTGGTTCCGCCACTGCATATCGGACCGCCTATGAAGAGTTTCCTTCTTCGGCCCTGGATGACATTGCGCCGTTGCTGCTGCGGCTTAAGGTGTTGGGCATGCATTCCCTGCAGCGGCTGCCGTTGCTGCAGCCCCCACCTGCTGCTGCTGTTAGTGCAGCAGCTGAGCATCTACTGGAGCTGCAGGCAGTAGACGAGAGCGGGCACATAACCAGGCCCCTGGGGTGGATGATGGCTCAAGGGATACTTTCCCCGGAATTGACCCGCCTGCTTTTAATTGCCGCAGATAAGGTGGGGGAACGTCACATAGGGCTCTGCCGGAGTAACAGAAGCAGCACAAGCAGCAGAATCAACAAAAGCAGAAGCAGTAACAGCGAATGCGGCAGTAGCCCCTGACGTCCAGGGGCAGACTGTTAGATTGTCCCGAGGTTCTTCCCTTGGCAGTGTGGCGGCTTGTACTTGTTCCCCTGGAAAACAGTAAAAGTGGGCACCCAGCAACCGTTGCGTGTGCTGCCTTCGTGTTGCCAGGCGTTTGGCTGCTCGATCGAGGCTGCCGCTCTCTGCGCCCTCCTCAGCGGCCCCCCCGTGTGGCAACGGTCTGCGCTGGAGGCCTGCGGCTTCTCAGCCAAAGAGGCCGCGCGGGATGGAAGCTCTCACCGCGCCTCTGGAGCACGACAGCAGCTGACACTATCTCGGGCTGTATTGGGGGCCATTGAGGGGGACCCCCTGACGGCTTTGAACGTCTTTAACAGCTACATGGACGTGAAAAGAACAGAAGGGCCTGCAGCTGCCTCCAGGTGGGCCGAAAGACACCTCGTTGACGAGTACGCTATGTCCAGAGCCGCAAATATCCACAGAGCGGTTCTCCAATGGCTACAACTCTGCCAACTGCCCTGCGTAAGTTTTCCCCTGCACACCCGATGGGCATCTTTGTTCGCTCATTGATAGTTATAATCTGCTGGTATTTCGCGATCTGGGCACTAGATTGAGGGTCCACGTTGTAAAGGCTAGGTGGTGAACTCTGCTCTGGCGATTATAGATGCTCCAGCGTAAAGTAGACAGGCGAGTAAGGGGCCTCATAGTGTAGATTGGAGCGTCTAAATTTAATTCACTCTAGTTTACGTGGTAGGCGTGTTTTCGCTTGTGGATGCATTGTAGCTGAGCTGCGACGGGGACTGCAAACCTCTCCTCCGGGCGCTGGCGGCCGCCTTCTGCCTCAACGTGGCCCAAAGGACACACAGGCATACGTACCGGCTGTATCGACTGTGAGAGTGTAAACGCACTTCAAATCTGCTGCTTTCCCCCACGTCAACACATTTGTGCCCCTACCAAACCTAAAACACTTGCGCAACAGAGAGACTAGATAGGGATGGTACTGGCTAGTTCCCGTGTTTGCAGGTATTTTATGCTTGGGGGTATATATATACATATATATATATATATATATATATATATATATATATATATATATATATATATATATATATGTAGGTTTTTAGGTCGATGCTTCAGGGTTTTGGTGCACTATGATTTCAGGCCTGCGTCATCAACTTCTCCTCCTTTCATAATTCATCCATCTTCTGTCCTGGCAAACTGCAGGCCATCATTTGTGGTATATGGACAGGTATGTTGCGCTTTATACACAGGTCCGATCGAATTTCTTTAATGCAGAGCTCACTAAACCCGAATTCTTGAGGTCTACCCTGCAAACCTCTGTTACTAATGCGTTCCTCAGGCCTTCATGCGAGACGGCTGCGTCTACATGCAACAAGTGACGGCGATCGAGTCACAGTGCGCTACGCCGTGCCATATTCCCTCCATAAGCACTTTTAACACACATAACACGCACGTAAAACTGGTACTTTCAACAGCTGCAGGTGTGCATATCGCCGTAGGGCGTGCCGGTGCTCTACGGAAACCCCGTGAACGCTTCATGAGCTTACGCGCCGTCGAACCAAGCCATGTCTGGCGTTTGTTTCAGGTGGCTGCCAGAAGTTGCTGGTCATTTGTACGCAGTGAAGGCGTGAAGAGCATTTACGCGCCTTCTTCAGGCTACGTGCCTGCTTACAATGGTTGGGATTGCCGAGGACTCCGCGGGCGCTGAGCTGCGTGTGTGAATTTCCCTCAGTTTTTATGTCAGCTGTTCCTGCAGCGCTTCTACTTGTGCCTTTTCTGGAGCAGAGGCTCAACTCTGGTGAGTCCTTTTCGCCGCCACGTGTAGGTTTCTTACAAAATCCTGCCTACAGAGGTGCTGCGCAGCCGCGGCACATATGTAGGCAGGAGTTTGTAGGAACCCTTCACGCTTGTTCGAAACAGGCTTGTGTACCGTACTCAAACTAGACTATTTATAGTTTAGTGATTGCGGAGAGCCAATGGTACACACCCGATTGACATCGGGGAGTCAGGGGAGCAGAAGGTGTCTCTAGGCACACGCTGGCGGCGCTGGCTAGGCCTTGGAGATGGGAGTTTCCCCCTTTAATGTGCATCGAAACTTCGAATATAAGGCCTATCTCCAGATATTTGATTGTTTCTTGTGCTGTAAGCCAGTTACTATACGCAAACTCGCGCCAACTTCGTCGAAGCCTTTTACAGAGACACTATACCTGTCTCTCTGTGGAAAGGCTTCGACGAAGTTGGCACGAGTTTGCGCGAGGGAATTGTCCCCAGAAACTCAACCTGGAGAGACTTTAAATTTAATTCAATAGTTAATCGCTATATCATTGTGGAAGCGTGCGCCTTGGTTTAACGCGAACAAGCCAAAGTCACCGGCAGGCTCTCGCCTTCGCCCAAGCGCTAGCGACACCGCCGGCAACGGCGATTGGGCCTCACAACTTCTGTCCATCCTCTTCAGTGAACAATTTCTCTGAAAAACTCTATCGCTCTTTCTTCGATTTATTTAGTCATCGAAAATATCTTTCTTCGGTTACTAAAATTGCTCCAAACACCAGCAAGCAACTGCTGGCGAGACTTACTGCTCTGCGCAGGTGACCACCGGTGGCTTGGCATCACAGCTCGCGTGTTCGAGCCTTCCTGCTTGCCCTATACACCTCTAACCTTCTCAGACGTTCGTATTCCTTTGCCAAGATGGATTTTGTGGAGAAGAGGTTGCCAGCCTGGGAAGAATGCCCTGACAATGAGAATAGCCCTCAAAAGCCGGTTGAGTTCTTCAACCTTTCCTCTGGGCTAACAACAGGAATGAGGAGCTCCGAGCTGCCATCAAAGGTAGAGCTTCATGCCCTTGTGCCTGCAGAGGTTCGCCTGGGCACCACACAACTCATGATTGCTTTCTTGTTGGAAGAGAAGTATTCTACCTGGAGATGGCTATACAACCGTGCCTGTGAAAACATCGAGATCCGCAACAGAGAAATGCCTTTGTCCCTTGAAACGTGTTGTGAACCCACACCGGGATTGAATGTTTCTGTTCCCCAATACTCCGGAGGCATGGCAGCGTGTTGTGTCGAACATCATGCAAGACATGTCAGCTGGTCCCTCGAACTCACTCAAAACACGTGCGAGATTGAATTAGAGGCGTCTTACGCTTTTCGTGAGTGGTTAGTACAACAGGTGGGCACATCTCTCGTCCAACCAGACTGCCTAGTAAGGGAATGTAAGGTGGCGGACAGTTATACGCAAATGATAAAAGAGAGGCTCTCCAAGGTAACGAAGGTGCGTTCTGTGTACCGCGCGGCTCAGAGCGAATTCCCCAGTCTACATTTTGAAGGACTCTGGGAGGAAAGGGTAAAGCAGCAGGTTCAGAGAATGTTGCAAGATGTTGATGCAAAAGAGCTTCTAACGCCTTTCCCAGTGAAGCAGGAAATGACCCCTGAGGAAGCAGCATCCGAAGCCAGAAGGAAGAGTCTGCTTTCACGCAGCGACCTCGAATTAGAAAAGGTGCATCCCGAAAGAATAGATTTCTTGGGGTTTGTTTTCGAGTCCTACAGGTACGGAACTGAGCACCAGGCGCGCAAACTGGAGAAGGAATACTCAGATGCTCATCCGCCGACACAAGATGACGGGGACGCCCCGCAGGGGCAAAAATCAACAGGCCGCCGCCCTGAGGCTGAAAGTGAAAGATCAAACTACGACAAGGAAATATTGCTCAGTTTATGCGATTGCTTCTAACCGAAGTCTCCAAGCAGTGCAATCATTGCGGGAGACTGTCATCAGGCATAGAGGGAAGGAAAAGCGCAACCACTTTGCTTGGAGAAGATGGAAGATAAGCAAAAATCAAGGAATCCGGATCAATGAGCGGAGACCAAAAGGTAGAACCCACAAGTTTCCCTACACGCGTTGCACTAGATAATGGTGCGCATTTAACCCTCTGTGCGTGCTCCTGCACAAACAGAGGGCCTTCTCTGGCGGTTACCAACTACTTTAGTGGAGTCGTACTCCCTTAGCAACAACTCGTAAAACTTTAGCCGCTAAGCGCCTACACTTTTGTTTTAGCACTTTAGACGAGGCTTGTTCGGAGGACCAACCAAACTAAACTGCATTGGCTGCGAACAGCCTTGGCTGCTGCGCAGGCTTCTACCTGCCTCGAGATTTTATAAACACATCAAATTTTATTCGGGAACCTTACGCAAAAATGCTGCAACGTACATATTCAGCACAGTGGGCAGTCACAAAGTCACGATAAAAGCGTATCCTCGTATATGACCTGCATTTAGGTGATCTGTCATAGAAATGCGTAAAATCTACAATTTACAAATAGGCAGTTGACGCAAACTGTGGGCAGAGCTGCAAGAGCTCGCCTACTTCAATAATCACGAATAGGAAGGAGCCAATGACGGGCGCCGTATTGGAGGGGTAACAGTTTAGAGTTGCAAATGCATCAGAGGATGAAAACCTTCCCATGAAGGAAACGGATTGTCCCGGTTTTGAAACATAATTGTACGAGCGCAGACGTCGCGGTGGCATATGGTCGTTAGGCTTCCGGCTGGCGCATCCTTTCCATAACGGGCGAGTGCTGTTCTATACATATATATGCCACACGCGCAAATACACCTCCCTTCATATAACGTTCGCGTCTTCTCCGCAACTGTGTGCTGGGACTGCATCTGCCGATGCTTGCATTACTTCAATCTGCAACAGGGCCAAAACACACGCAGCGCACCCCGCATTTATTCACCTTGCGATTTTTCTGTTTATTGCCAAAATCTGCCGATGAAACTTGAGTACGGCACACTTCCGTTATGCATCTGGCTATAGCTGCTGTAAAAGTAAAACCACCATCCAATGATACTTCTTACCTTATAACGGACACGCCGAGAGGATATCAGGCCCCACGAGTTATCAAATGAGAGAATCAAAGTGCCCTCTTGTTCCGCGCTAACAACGCCGCTGACTCGCCTATGACGCAGCTACGCAATTCGAAAGTGGTGAAGATGGAAACGTTGCTTTTCGGCACAATGGTAAGTTGCATTTAAGGTTCGCACTTGACAGGTACTCCGTACGAAAATTCGACGCTGGTAGAGGGGGTGCAATGATGTCGAAGCCGATTAGAGGATCTCACTTGCGGGGAGGGTATTTGCGGTGCTCCTCAATAATGCTCTCATTTCCGGACTGCAGTTGCAGGAACGCCCAAAATGTAACAAACTTCTTAAATGTACATTAATGGTCAAATTAATGGTCACGAGATGGCCTGCCTCTACGAAGTCCGGCAAAGTCCGTATTGGTGGCTTTCCTAATAGCTTACCTGAGACCTCCAAATTGCGCTGAATCCCACGTCGAAGTCCTCCGCTACCCATGCCCACTGCACGACGGATTTTTGGGGGATCTGCACGCAATGACAGAAGCAGATACAGGGTATACATGAACTACGAACATTCACGCTGCGCTGTTGCTGCCGCAGCGCAATGCCCAATGGTCCGCTTGACCTTTTAGAAGGCATGAACTACACTTGCCGTACCGCCTGAGCTATTCCTACGGCAGCCAAGGGCTGCAACTGCTACTACATTTCGAGGGGAGTTGAGCTTACCAACTCGACCGCTTGGTTGCACCGCCTGGCTCCCACATTGAGAATCATGCTGCCCGGGCCTAAGTCTGTCTCCCTGCACCGGCAGTACAAACCAAGCCTCGAGGTTGGGTTTAATGCAGATTGACTCATTCATGAATGCGCATTGGGGACTAGCTTCGTGTGGAGTTCTGACGAAAAAGAAATCGTGACTCCAAGCGGTGGCGACACACAGGCATGAATTGCCCTACGCTGGCACTGATGCATGTATTACCGTACAATGGAGGAACGTCTGCCAGTGAAGAAGTGCAGATCCCCCCCAGAGACGGAGGCAAGGCGTAACCCCCAATGTTTTTCACTAAAACACTTTCCGCGTCGCTGCCTGCAGACATCCGACAGAAACTAAGGATGCATTCGGGTAGATGCAGCCCAGTAAGCGCCGATCACACTGCTAAGCCATGGATACACTTACTAACCTCCAATTTCAGCGGCATCCTGCAATATGGCGAAAGGTACGTTCTACACATCGAACAACTTACTCAAGAGCTTGATCTTATTGATGGTCCTCTCTCGCAGCCATCCACGGATGGCAGACCAAAGAGTTGAGAACGTGCGGGGAGTGTTGATGAAGTACATCGTGCCAATGGATTCCGGATAGTTTTCACTTGCCGAACTAATTGTCCTCCTCAGCAAACTGAACAGCATCGCAAGGAGAAGTGAGGCTATTTGATGTGAGCGGGCCCACATATTAAGAATACTTGAGGACGGTGCTTATATATATATATATATATATATATATATATATATATATATATATATATATATATATATATATATATATATGCGAACATCGCACAATAATTGCCATGGTGTAGCCTGGAAGTCATCTCCCCACTTGAGCGCTCGTCGGTTCAAAATCCGCGTGGAGAGGCCCTGCAAGTCGACAACTGCGGTTACACGAACCATTCTGTTGAACTTACGAGACAGCCTGCGGGCAGAACACAATTATGAAGGGGTCAAGCAGGAGATCCAACTTGCTCAATATGATTCGCCACTCCATGTTGGACCAGATAATTGCAGACGATTCACACCACACATGCTCATCCTGACGAGTTCGTCCCAAACCCACACGTCAAGGAGCATGCAGCGGAACTCCAAAATGTCGGAATGCCACCCCAAAAATTCTTCTTCTGAAACCGCCGAGAACAAACCGTTTACGTCAAGAAGTCCTGCATACACGCAATCCGTGCACTGAAACGCAGCTTTCCGCCTTCACGAAAGAGTTGCGCAACATCCGTCGGTCACCCCTTGTGCACGAACGCGGACTTCAACGCGCATTTCAATGAGAAATATAACTGGGAGACGTCACATACATGGACATCAAGCGTAGCCTCCCTCAATCCGTTCCCTTTACCCCCGTCCCCGCCCGAAAGCGGAGTCTCGGATAGACAACAGCAAATTTTGGTCCACATATGTAACCACTACCGCTACAAGTAAAACAGGAAAAGACGATTAACCTGGCCGTTCTATAGAAATTATGTTCCCTTGCTTATCCAAGATCACCGCATCTAACGCCTTGTCACTGAGGGCCTGCAACAGACTGTCCCCGCCTCCAGGCGCACTGGCTGCAGCTGCTGCTGCAGCACAAATGTCCAAGCTTGGGGCTCGTCCCCCGTCACGGCGCAGTACAGGATTTGTGGAAAAAAATCGAGTGACATCGGCGTGCTTGGGGGAGGCCTCAGGTCTCATAGGTAGCAGCATTGATTCCTACGGACGTAACCGCAGAGCAAGCAGCAAAGGCAGCTGAAGCAATAGGAGTACCCAGAACAACAAAAGAAAGTAGAGGAAGAGTAAATCTGCAAGACAATCCTCTGTCCAGATCTTAGGAGACATGTAGTGGACGACGCTACCGGACGTAGCCGTGTGCTTCTAAAGCGTGTACGTACCACAACTGTTCTCCTCTTGTTGGAATTAAGACTCATCTCTTCTCTCCACTTCATGTGGCGTCGATAGGCGTTGTTGGCGGCAGTGGCATCGTAGTCGAAACCTTGAAGGTACCGCAGCAGGCGAGTGCTTCCAGCTAACTCGGGCACCTCCGGATAAGCATCACCTGGTGCTGCTGCTGCAGCTTCGGCATCGGAAGATGGGCTAGCGCCTTCTGGATACTTGAGTTGCGCAGCCCCTGGCGTTTCAGATGCGGAATGCCCTTCCCTGCCGCTGCTAGGTCGGCTGAGCGTGCGACTGACGAAGGCGGACTTGCTACGAGTGTCTGCTGGGGAGTCCGCTTCTGCCTCTGTGCAGCTTCCGGAGGCCTTCATGCCCATTAAGAATTCATTTCTGGCCGCCCGAGCACTTTCGCTGAAGGCTCGGAAGGCCTCCAATTGCTTGGTCGAGGGATTTGCTGCCAGGAAGAAATCCGGCGGTTCCTCGACCAGCCGAAAATCACCTGCACAGGGCTCCCTGCAGCTGTGGTTCTCCGAGGCATCTAACTGTTCACCTGGGTGTCCATCTGTGGAGTGTCCATTCGGAGAATGAAGCACCTGACGCGCTGGAGAGTCAGCCGCAGCCGCCATGCGCTTCGTGCCGTCTTGATGCATCTCCCTAGCGCGTAGCCCGCACAGAGCGGATAATCCTTCAAAAGAGCTCCCAGTGCTATGCCCAGAACTCTGTCAACAAAAACAACTCCAGGAGAGGCCGCTCAATTGCCTAAACTGTTAAACGGATGCAGCTGCAGTGGTAGACAAAGTGGCTCACAAAGGAGCCTACGGCCGCCAGTCTGAGCCCCAGTTGCGGCAACCAAGATACACTGAGCCGAGGGATGATGTGTTCAGGATTCATGGTTCATCTATATACTGCCAAATGGATCGCGTTGCAACTGTGTCGTGGGCGGACGGCTATTGTCGGACTCGCGTTCCAGCCCTATTAAGAACTTAACCAGGTCATATGTACGCCTGGCAAACTGTAAAATCGGTGTTTCTATTTGGACAAAGAGCACAGAGGAGGCATTTTACCCCTACACTGCTTTATGCGGCCGGACACTCAAAAAGCTACATTTAACGGGGGCCCAGTGACCTTGCAGCGGCCGCTCTTATGTCCACCAGAGATACTAGCCTTAACAGAACGCATGCATTCTGTATACCGCTGAAAAAGAATATACAAGAGAAATATAAAAGTAGGGTTCTAGGAGGTGTGAGACCCTCAACCGCTGCGCTGCTCGGGCCGCAGCCCTACGCAACTCGTGGGGAATAAAATCTCGGGGCTTTACCCTGCAAAATCCCGTCCTACTTCTTGGCATCTATATGCTCTGTTCTATTTGTATGGTTAAACTTTATTTGGCTGTCTTCGTGCCTGGTAAACGCCGCCATGTTTACGTGAGTTACGTGCGTCAGACGGCTTGCATTGCTATCTCCCGTCGGGGTTGTTTTGTTGCGCGTCCTGCGGCGAACAGCATATAAGCAAGGCACATGCCGCAGCTGGCAGTTGTAAATAGTCCAAAGGTGTTTTTGCTTTAGTTGGCGAACTTCCTACCTAACTGAACTAGCAGAGGAAGCGGATAAACCGCAATCCGAAATATGTCCTGAGCCCGAAGCCCAGCTTCGTGCGTACAACTGTCGCAACTACAACAACTACTGCAATTAGTCACGGCTGAGTCACACGTTGGCATTTATATATCGAGACTATATATAGTTGCTGAAGCTAGTCTACTGTTGAACCATTGGAATTGGCGGAGAGGAGCGTATAGTACGCTTCACCCGCCATCCGCCTGACCATCCGACAATTGTCCATCTGTTTTCGACAGGGACGGGTTTTCTAGACCCTTTATACGTTATTGATTTGTTGCTTCCACTGGCATGCTGCATCATCGCTTGCCACTTGTTGTATTGGCCTTAAGGTCCTGGGTTTGCGCGCTACGCGCCCGTACTGGCTTTTCCATTGATGTGCAAGGCCCCTTAGAATTACCATTTCCAGCCTGACCGATCTAAAGAATAGGAGCAGCTAAGCTTGCTATATTCTGGCGGGTTCTAGCGGGAGCTGTGACTTGCTCCGAAGTTCGCACGGTTAGGTTGTCGCTTACGACCGGCCAACCCATCTCCAATTGCTATTCACATGGAACCCTTCTCCAGCGCCTTCGCATTCGCTGAGCTGATGTTAACCACGTCTGGCTTCCGTGTGTGCCTATGCTAGGGCCCTCGGGCACTTTCTAGTTGCCGATATGCCAACAAAAGCCTCTGTTCTCAGTCTCCAGAAACGCCTACCTCCCAAAGTTTGCATTCACATACTTCTAGCTGGTTGCATTGACTGTAAAGCTGAAAATTTTGCCCAGGGTTTGCAAACGCAAATGTGCTGCGGTCAACGGCGCCGTAGCATGGTCTGCTTACAGCTAGCACAGGAACCTTCACTTGGTCTTGCTAGGTTGCGTGTAAGCCAATGCAAACGCTCTAAAAATGTACTCAGAGGTAAAGCATGCAGCAAAAGAAGCTTCGCTGAAGCTTCCTTGTGTTCATGCGTGAGGCTGGCGTGCTTCAGCAGCCGCACCGGGGTGCGCTGCAACCCCGCTTCAGGCCACCTCCTCCCCGCAATACCCATTCCCTGATTTCAACCTCCAACAGGCCTGAGGACAGGGAAAGGAGGTCAGCTGATTTTGGCAGTCTTTGCCTGCATTGCAGCTCGGTTAAATCCAGAGAGCAAGCGTTATACGCGCCGTATAACTACTCATGGCGATGCACATAGGCACGGTCTGATTTTGCAGTTGCACGTAACTTTAATCCGTTGGTTCGTTCTGGTGACACTGGACAGCTTCCTTCAAACGGTTAGCCCTAAATTTTTCGATGGGACCGATATTGTATAAGAATGCTCCAACCTCCTTCTTGCTACGCACTTCGACAAAAGCACCTGGAGTGGAGGGCAGGAGCTGGTTCCCCCTCATATATATGAACATGTCCACATTGTTCAATTCTTTGCTAAGTTCCTCCTGCTCTTCGATCTTCTTTCGAATGACGACTCGGATCTCGTTTAGTCGGCTATCCATCTGTGCTGCCCCCCGCTCATCTAAGGGACGCGTGTGAGTCCCGGCAATGTTCAGTTCTTCAGCCAAGGCCTGGTACTGCTCATCTATTTTTCGATTTCGGGTTTCCGCCTCGACCAGCAGCTCCTGGAGGTAGTACATTCTGTTTTGTATTTCTCGTTGTCTTTCAGCTAATTTTAGAGGCTCAGGCATCGCATTGAGTGAGGCGGGATGCGGTGGGTGTTCTTCGTTTGGAATTAACCCCTGATAACGCCTGCCGCTGCGTCGTTTCTGTTGCGCGTGAGACCTTCTCACTGCAAGCATTTGCGTTCCTAAGTTCGATAACTCGGTGTGTATTGCGTTATTCAGGAGGGCAAAGCGGTCCTGATCCAGTGACTGCGCATATCGAAGGCGTTCCGCGATACTCCGAGAGATCAGCACCTGGTGAGGCGGGGGCCCAACCCAATAAATTGACTTATTCACCCACATGGATTCACGATTGTCCTGCATCATCTTGCCGTCTAAAAGAGTGTGCGCACCAACGACGCCACCTGAACCTGAGTACACAAGATCAGGAGACACGAACGACGATTTCGCAAAGGCCATTCAGAAGCGCTATACCGTCAATTAAATGCCTATGTTCCAGCATTTATTTAATGTACTCGTACACGGGGAAGTGACCAGGAGATGCACGCATGTTTCTCCGGAGCAGATGCCCCAAAAATCACAGAAATATTCGGAAGTTACAGAAATATTCTCTGTTAGGCAAAGAAAGGTCAACAGGAAGAGATTCCATGAAGGAAGAATACGTCGTCAACGGAACCCAACTTGTGTGCAAACATGCAACTCCGAGATTGACAAATTGTACAAAGATCTGAAGCAAGAAGATGGCAATTATGCTTATGGGGGTGTTCTATTGAATTGGAAATGCTGTAGAATCCCATCTACGGGAAGTAAGAGAGCAACTTCGAGGTCTGTCTACGCATTGCGTCGTCAGAGTGTGCCCGCGTTGATGCAGGCGTTTCCTCCTCGCTTCCGTCAACCTTTGCGGGACTGATGCTTGGAAAATTCACCTGTGTTGGGTATGTCGCGGAATCTTGGCTATATATGGGCTTGTTCAGAAGTGAATCAGGTTAAGTTCCTGTATCCGGATGCGACGTGCCAGAACGACCGTGATAACGTCAAGGGTGCTAGCTTTCCGGAGAGTTTGACAAAAAGTAAAGATGTTTATATTGGAAGGCCCGGCACGAACGTAAGCTGCTAAATCTTTGTTAGAACTGAGACTATCAGGGCGCGGGGAAAGGTCAGCAAGACAACGGAAGTGACCTCAGGCCGTTTTCGGCTTTCCTGCGGACAAAGATTCGTTCTGACTAGAAATGCCGCATTAAATATGTTTGAAAACAGTATTTTCAAACTGATTCAGGAGGCACATTGCAGTAATGTTGTGCTTAAGCCGCGACTGAACTGCTGCCTCGCTCGCCAGTGTGCAAGTGTCTAGGACCTGCCCGGCGGTTTCGGCCACGTCGATGGCTCAACAGCGCCGATGGCTGGCTAGCCAAGTCCAACCGCTGTCTCCCTTTTTACGGTTTAGACGTTTAACGGCTTTTTTAGTGTACAATTTTAATTTAAGCTTACGAGATTCCTTCATATGAATGCTTGCGCAGCCGCCCGGTATTCAAGTGCTGCCGCGCACGGCATCTTGAGCCGGGTAGGCCTCGTGAAGCGGGTGGGCAGTATACAGTTGAAGTGCCCTGGGATTCAGCAGGGCAGGCCAGGATACCCTGGAAATTCTGGCAACCAATAGCTCAATGAATGAGTATGAATGAAATAACTAATAGTTTCTTGGCTATACATATTTTAACGGTTATCTTCATATTGATCAGGTTGGACAGGGGTAGTAAAGTGCGGGCGCACTACAATTCAGCACTTCTACTAAATAAGATAGTATTTAAGTTTCTCAAGTTGAATGATAGTTCGCGCATCTCAATAATGATCTTACCTGTTTCACTCAAAAGCTTGTTGATAGAACTGGCCAGATGGCTCATCACACACCCGTACGTGTTCTGGACGCTACCTGGGATGTAGCCGCAGCCCACTGACTGCGACGGCCTAGGCCTGGAGCCTACCCCGTAGGTCCCAAAGGGAGGCTACCAAAGACGGTTCCAACCAGAATCAGAACTTTGTTCTCGTGAATTTTAACAAAACGCTTGTGAGTAATAGATCGCTCCAATCGGCTTACTAAGGTTTGTATATAGCAATCGAACTACTTAGTTCGTATTCAGGTTTCTTGGCGGCACTGCTCTTACAGACGCCGGTTCCCGATATCAGATGTGTATGTTCTATAGCTGCCTATTCTGACGAAAAATTTTAATGTATTCAACTGCGTATCAAATCTTAGAAGAGAAAAATTTTGAACATTTCCTTGAAGAGGTGAACATCACTCTCCTCGCATCTGCCCAGCTGAGCCTCAGGGCATTACAGGTAGGATCCACTCGTAGACGCAACCTGACTAGTCGGGGTTCCCGGGATACGACAACCGGAACCAGACCGAGATGCGTAATTGGTAGACCAAGTATTCGTGAGCAGAATGGATAGGCGAAGGGAAGTCTAAAAATAGATGGGAAACACAGTTCTCGTTTTCACTCCACCATCGACCGGTAGGTCCCCCTGGGATCGCCGGGGCATAATCCCCGGTCCCAGCCTGCTACTGTGGCTGGTTGCCATCTGCACCCAGTCCGCGGGGTGAGTTCGTTGGTGGAGCTCGTGAGGAAATCCGCGCGAACGGATCGTTCCTAACTGACGTCAATTTAACTGCGGAGACGAGATTTATTGGGCAAGCGAGCAAACGGACTCGCCCCTCTAACGCGGTTATAAGAATTAGTATATTGTAGTGCTCGCGCACTACACCTCAACAGCTGGAAGGACTCTGCAATATACTCACTGTTAGCTATCAAGAGGAATTAATTTTCCGGCCTAGCATACACGTTTTGCCGCCGCATAGAAGCAGGCACATTTTATTCGCTATTCGTGGGGTTAATAAAAGTGATGCCAGTAACCGTCTGTAATACAGCACTCCTAGTTGGGCGATTAGACACAGGCATATCGTAACGAAACCCGCAAGCGATGCGATATGAAGAACGAAAGCACGCCTGCGTTTCCGTGGGTTCCTCCAAGACATACAGCGTCAAAATAGCACTAAGGTATGGCGCTGGAGACGAGCAAGGGGAGCTAGTGCCTATTGTTAACCAACCACGGAACCGCTCTGCTAATGCGACCTATTTCCGCGCCTCAAATGTTCACAACCACAGTTCCGTTGTGACAAGAGCGGGCATGGTCTAGTGGCTATGACGTCTGCCTAACACGCAGAAGATCCCGGGTTCGATCCCCGGTGCCCNGGCATGGTCTAGTGGCTATGACGTCTGCCTAACACGCAGAAGATCCCGGGTTCGATCCCCGGTGCCCGTAGTACGCAGCTTGTATCCCTTTGGAAGTTTCGATGCTGTACGGTCATCTTGGAAGCCTAGCCGGTTGCTTGTGAATTACCACTGCTGGGAATTGTCGGTGTTGTGCCCCCTGTCAACGCCAGTGCACCCACACTTGGCAATATGTGGAAGCCATATTGACGCTGCCTGCGACTGCAGAGTGAAATGTCGCCGGTCCAGAAACGTATCAGCGTTATACGGCGACTACGCGTCCTATCACGGCTATAGTCGGGTGGCCTTGTTTCTGGTCCGGGCACGGCGGTTGGTTAAAACATTTAAGGGCGCTCTGGCGAGGCGCCGAGAACAGCATCAGCCAAACAACACCATTCACTTTTGGCCATGGAGTGTCAAAAAAGTTGGACAGAACATTCCCACGACTGCAAAGCCGGATGCAAATCCGCAGCACTCGAGTGAAGCAGTTGACTTCAAGTGCATAGATACTGACACACACCAGCATGCTGATACTGGCGCCAAACACGGAAAGTACACACTTCAAACTCCTCTTCACAAATACAGCTGCGTGCACTAAGGATGGCTACCTAATTCGTTGTCCTAGAGGATGCTTTGACAGAGAGCGGATCCCCATCTTGGAGGGAAACGTATGATAGGATTGGAGCATAGAAAGTTGACTGTTATACTTCGCCATACCCCCTGCGGAGTTAAGCATGCATCCGGCTTTTGACGGAAGGACTGGAACTGCGCGTTACTGATTGCCAGTGAGTTCCGGGGACCTTAAACTGTGCAGAAACAAGCTAACCGATACAAAATTCAGCGCGCCTCTTACTGCCTTGCTGGGTATCCCGGGTGCCCAATAACCGCGTCGGAGTTCGGCTTCCTGCGAGCACTATCTTCCGCATTGTCTTCTCGCTAAGCTGAAGGTAAGGTGGAAGAATGGGGAGCACAAGCAGGGTTGTACAACTGCGCCAGTCAAATACTCTATACTAACGCACGGATAGCGCTGTATGGTGAGTTAAAAAACAAAGTAAACTGCAATACACAAGCGCGGAGGACATTATGCGTGAAAATCAAGCCTTTTTGCCATCATTGACGAAAAAAGAACACTCTGGGTTTGAAGCTAGCTCACTGAGCGGCCGCTCTGCCAAAATGCGTTCCAAGTAAAAGCTGACAGTTTCAGCAGCTCAGTGATGAACACGACTTTCAGATTGCAACCCCTTCACCCCTGACTTAAAAAAAACAGTGCTTCAAACACAGTTGACCGCAAATCCAGCGCATACCGTACTCGGCACTCACTTCCGTTCTTCCGTTCCCTATGGCAACTCCCTTGAGGCCTCTGATTCCCTGAATGAATGTGCGATTTCAGCCGTCCTATTGTCTAATTTCCATGAAGCTATTTTCAGTGCCTAGTGCAATGATGTTGTTTCTGCTTCAAACGCATAGGAAACAGCATCCCCGAAGCACTCTTTGCCGGTGTGGACCTCTACGGTGTTCGTTGCACCACCCGCAGGTCGTCTGTCTCCCGGGGTCGGCTGCGGCGGGACGGCCCGCTCGTCTTCGACGAGTTCCCAGTCTTCAAGCGGAGGGGGCAGAACACAATGAAATGCTTCTCCATCCTTGAGAGCCCTGCCGGATGTGTCTGATTGATGCTGCCGCTCCAGGGCGCCGTCAGCAGCACTGTGAGATTCCGGAGAGCCCCTCAAAAAGGAGCCCAGTCCAAAGGCCATGCGGGACAATACGCCAGTGCTCGCTTGAGACCCTCTCTCGAACTCTTCAGGTGTCCAGCCAAGACGGGCAAGGGCCTGTTCATGTTGGGTCTGGCTAATGGCGCGCTTCCTCCGAAACTCCTCCAGCATCTTCCGTTCGCCGGTCTGCACAACCCCGTCAGCGAATACTCCGGCTAAGAATGCGTCATAGCTAAGAATCGCAAGGCGCGCTGCTTGTGCCCGGGAACGGTTAACCAACAAGGTGGTCAGCCCCTGGACTACAGGGAAGCCCAGATTTCCGGGTTCTCGTAGCACGAAGGTGGCCAGCTCTTTCAAATCTAGACAGAAGACGGTCGTCTCTGTCATACAGGTGGCAGTGGAGGGCGCCGTAACTGTTCCCTCCTCCCGTGCACCATCCACGTCCTCTGATTCCCCTTTTAACGACGGGCTGCGTTCGCGTGTCGGCTGTTGTCGTTGCAACCCTCTTTCCGCCCCAGTCCTCCTGCTCTGTGGCGCCTCAGTCAAGCTAGCTGCGTCCGCTGCCGCTGCAACTGCGGCTGCAGCAGCTGCAGCAGCAGCTTCGGCGACGTGTCGCGCACCTTCTGCAGCTGAGGAAACCCCACCTTGGACGAGAGAAGTGGCTGTTGATGCCTTTGTGGGGGCCCGTACGGGCAGCTGTATTTCAGGCCTTTGTGGTGCATCGGTTGAAAGTGCGGTGGCTGCAGCTGTGCGCACTGCAGCGGCAGCGGTTGCTGCTGCCTCTGCAGCTGCAGCAACGATGCTTGCGCCCGATAGGGTTTCTTCCGCACCATCCGGAGCTCCATTAGAGACAGCAATGGCAGTTGAAGGTGTTTTTGTAGAGCTTCCTTGTTGTGGAGACTCCGACAATGATTGCGGTGCTTTCTGTGACGGTTCATTTCCTGCTCGCTGCTGTTGTTGCCTGCTGGTGTCGGCATCCTGACGTGCTATCGTGACTGTTTTTATGTTTAAGTCTGCACTTCTCTCTGTACCCTCCATCAGCTGGGGGTTGTTAGTTCGTTCTACGCCTTTGTTTGTGCGGTTGTGTTGCTGCTGCTGCTGCTGCTGTTGCTTGAGATCTGTAGAGGTTCCTCTATGGACTTCGGCTCCAACAGTAAGGGAATGCACTGTCTGCGGATGGCGCTGAAGGCCCTCAGGGGATTCGTCCGCATGGCTTGCCAGCGTTTCAGGTGAGCTTGCTGCCGTGTGCTTGACACGCTTCGCCGACAGTCTCCTCAAGTCAGCAACATACGAAAGAAATGGCTCTACACCCAGGACTGCTCCTGTTTCTCCCCCTCTATAGGTGTCCACTACTTCTCCACCTTGAGATATCTCGACAGCTCCTCGAGCCACAAAGCACAACGTTTCACAATTTTTACCTTCCTGCTGCAAGACATAACCTTGCGGAAAGGTTTGCCAACTGCCTTGCCTAAGCAGTCGACGAAACTGCCTCGGACTCATCCCCGCAGGAAGGAAGTATCTCTGAAATATGTCTAGCTCATCCGAGCTAAACGAAACCTCTCGATGTTCTGTATGTACACGCCATAGCATCACTGTATTGAGCACCAAAAACACCACATTCCACAAAGCTGCATCTGTCAGGCGGGGCCGTCGAGACCAATTATAGGAAAAGTAGCAAAAACCTGCAAGCAGATTAAACGTCCGAAGAAGCCGCATGTCCGCCATCAGGGTTGCCGTGAGAGACAGCAGGGACCCAACTGTGACAACCACATTTCCGTTGCGATACGTCCACTCAGAGATGGTGGTGCAATACGGGGCCATGAGAGAGCGCAACTGTCCGTACAGGGTACTAATGCGCTGCCTCGCAAAACATATTGGAAGGGGCCGACTTGCAAGAACTGCACGTGACGCCCCCCGGCCCACCACCTTCTTCAACGGCACTTTTGGCTCTGCAGCAGCAAGTCTGGTTGCAGCCTCCTTCTGGAGCTGCTCTTCTTTTGCCTGCTGCGGAAGCTGCTGCCCCTCATCGCTTTGCTGCTGTAGGATGTCCGGCATAGACGCACCTGCCCTACTGGGCAAGCCGTCCTCTTTCCCACCTTCAGCTTGCTCCCGCTCTTCATCCTTGCCTTCGAGGCCTTCCGGAGCGCCTGAACCGGCCACCGCAACAGACTCGTCCGTAGCAGAATCTTTCGGTAGTGTCCGTTCATCGGGAGTCCTCACCGCCAGCACATTTTCCTGATCCCGTGTTGCTGCCAACTCGGCTGCGGGAGTGGCACCGTGTTCTTCGTGCTGTTGCTGTTGCTGCTGTTGTTGATGCTGCTGTTGCTGCTGCGTTGCTGCGGCCAATCGCAGCTGTTCGCTTACGGCTGAGCCTACTTGCAGCAACTGCCGTTGCGGAGTTTGCATAGGTTGCTGCCGCGCATGCATAACCTGCCGCGGTCCTACTACCGACTGCGCCTTACTGAGAGGTCTCCAAGACCGCAGCAAAGCCCTAGGAGGCAGCCGGGGTCTTTGGAGGTTGCGCGTACCCCCCGCAGTACCAGCAGATGTCGGTGCAGGTGTAGAAGCTGAAGCTGTGCGGCTACAAGGCTGGCGCCGAGGCTGCCCAGTGCGACGGAATAGGGACTTCAACAGTCGTTTAATGGCCCTATTAAAAAGGATAGGGAATTGAAAATCCATTGCTCCCCCCGCCGTCACATCCGGCGTCCCCGGAGGCCCCAGGGGACCCAGCGATATTCTCTGCCGTTGACGGCGTCCAATAGATGGAGGGGCTGCTGCACATTGAGGTGAATCGGCTGCCTCAGGCGCTGCTGGACCCGCCGCTACACGTGTCACTGCTACTTGATTCCCCGCTGCTACCCCGCCCAAGGCCTCCGGCCCTTCAAGATTGGAAGGCTCAGCCCCTTGGGAAGCTGCGGATGACCTCTGCCATGATCCTGATTCTTGCTGTGTTGCATCAGAAGCAGAAGTGGCACTAGAGGGGAAGGCAAAACGGCCCACTCGTCCCCCCCGTGCCAGCATAGCAACGGCAGCAACAGCAGAATACTTTGATGCATCTGCCGAGGAAATTTGGGGGAGAACAGCCCCCAGCCATGCTGCTGCAGCCTTCAAACAGTTGCGCGCAGCTCGGCCCCGACGGCGGCCTACAATGACATCGCCCACTTGCACGTGTTCTACTGCCACATGCCTTCTGTCGGGAGACAAGCCGCTGCTAGCTTCTGCTGCACTGTATGGGGCCCTAATGCACCTTCGGCGCCTTCCAAGCGTCCGTTTCGCCTCGCTCAGAGTTTCTGAAGGCGGGGTAACCAATGAGGCTGCACTTTTGGGGATACCTGCATGCGCTGCGCTGCCTGTGTTGCTGGTGGCACTTTCCATGCACACGGACAGATCAGACGTATCTTTTCTTGGAGGTACAGTACTTTGGCACGATGGAGGAGGCGCCCCTGAGCACACACGGTCGTCAGGGTGTTCTGAGGGTTCTGCTGATGCCTCTCCGGAGCAGCCCTTCGCCTTTCCATGAAAACATTGGACCTGAACGAAATGTTGGGACAGTTGCTGCTGATAATTCAGCCGTTGACTCCCACGCAGATGCGGACGCTGTAGAGCAAGTGCAGAGAAGTGGTCGAATGAGGCCGCCAACTGCCTAGCACAGAGCTGGCCTCTCCTTCTATTTGCAGCAAAGATACCAGCAGGATATGCCCTTCGAATGATAGGCAGCGTCCTTGCCGGTGTTTTTGGAGAGTTTCTGTGGACAAGCCAGAAAGCATGCATTTCTCTTTCACATCTCTGAATAGCTCCGGAGGAAGCTGTGGCGGCGACACCCGTTTCCTACCGACGGTGCACGAGCCTACCGTTGAACAGAGGGCACTCTACAGAAAGGAACAGGCATATAATGCTGCTATCAGCTGCTATACGGCGTTTTGTAGCCCTTCACAAAGCTGCATGCCCCGTTGAGCCTGGAAGACATGCCCAGCTCCTGTGGTGAATCCTGTGCGGCTTTTGAGCGCAGCTTGCTTCAATTGAGCGCCCCTCCACACATAAGACTACTATGATGTTCAGTTCAGCCAGTAGTAATAAAAAAGACAAATTGAGGAAGTTCGGTAACGCGACTGCGCAAGTCCTACAGCAGCGTTGGCTGCCGACTGGCCCTGACTCACCTGCGCAAGCTGAGGTCTCTTCGCGACAGAGAGGAAGCTGCAAGGCTGATGTAATTGTAACTCTGCTTCTAGTACTGAAACTAGGGAAATTCCTATACAAATGTGTAATGAGAGAACTGAAACTACCAGAGTAGTTATTCCGAACAGCCCTGTAAAAAGGCAACCCTGCACAGTGCGTACCCTTCACCGGAGACTCTATGTCATTTTTGGCATGCACCAGATATCCTGGAGATTCCACAGGTGTACATTCGCGTGGTTGAATTGGGCGCAGGATGGGTGGGGTGCCTGTGCTTTGAGCTTCCACCGCCCACTGTCGCTTGAGAAACAGTCTTAGCATGATCTGCCCGAAGTTAACACAGGAACAGCCTCTTGGTCTTGATAGGCTGCCTGCAAGCACGCGCAAATGCCCAACACGTGCCTACAGAGATAAATCATGCAGCAGAGGAGGCTTCGTTGTGCTTACATATGAGGCTGGCTTGCAGCAGTAGTTGCAGCAAAGTGCGGTGAAACTTGTGCCAGGCTGCCTCCTCCCCCGCAGCCGCAGGCCCTGAGCTGCGGTGCACAGCATGCGTGGAGACAGGTGAGAGAGGCCAGCTGCTCTTCGGAAGGTCTTATCTTAAGTCTGTGCCTTCAACGCAGCTCGCAACAGTCCTCGAATACGTCCGTCAGCTCTCCCATCATAGAGCTGGGCCGCTCGCTGCATAGAAATTATTTGCCGTGAAAATTCTTTGCGAAACGAAGAGACGGAATATTTAGATGCATTGCAGTCAGGCTTTTGCTAATCCAAATTCATAATGAAGATCGTTAGTTGTTACTGTTTCTTGACACATGCTACGGAGTGGATCTAATATCTGACGCTACGGCGAAGAGGTGCAACACAACTGTCTATTTGTTGGCAAAGGCTCTGCAGCTACATTTCGCCGATGGAAGAGAGGACAAGAGGGTCAATGGAACCATGGGCATTAAATACCAGCTCAATTTAGGAATGGATCCTGCCACAACGATAAGGGATCTCTGTTGCGCAAATCCACCATGACATAATCGTATATATCTCATCAGTGACTCAGTGGAGCACCCATATGCAAACTCAAGAGAAGTTTTTGCTGCCTTTCTGTGGGGAAGCAATAAAAGCGTGAACCTTTCAGCAATCCCAACAGAATTTGCATTCCCTAGGACACTTCACTAGTGCACTTGGACACAGTTCGGTGCTGAAGAAGAAAAGTGACGGGAGGTAGCATCCCGACGGCAGGGACAAAACTGGGGCTCATACCCGCACGCGCAAACACACATTTGTGGCATATAGGCTTAAAAGTGCAGCTGTCGAAGGGTAGCAGCAGATTAACCACGATTTCCTGGTTCCCTTTGCTGATGGAAGGTTTCTATGGACGGACAGCGTACTCTTCTACACAAGAAATTTCCAGGAGCCCTTGCAGCAACTGTGGCTTGAGCTGCGGCTACGTGAGAAGCAGTGGCACATGAAAGAAGAGAAGATTGTTTGCATGAAATATAAACAGTTCTCTTATCTTTCCATGTTTGTGCAGGAAAAACCCAACCAGAGCTGTCGATGATAGAGGCCATGCCGAAGTGACTGCTGCCTCTGCACTTTCGAAAGAGCGCGTACGTTCAAAAGTTCCGAGGTCCTGCTAACGGAATTTTGTCTGCGGGTGCCTTCCTCCCCTCCGACGGGTTTACTTGAGGACAAACTTATTTAGACAGCGATGGAAGAAGGGGCAGTAAGGAAGTTCACTGTTCACCCTGCTAATCGCTCACAGTGATTTCGGTAAATGCTTCTCCCTAATGACCGATGCCAGTGAGTCAACGGCTGCAGTGACCCCCCTTCATATTGCCGAGGATTCGAAAATCACCGAATGATTGCCTGTTATCAACACCGTTTCACGGAAACAGCGCAAAAGTAATCGGTATGTGAGGAGGAGTTTGCCGCCAGTGCGGAGTAAGGAAGAGCGTGAATTAGTGGCATTGTAGGTATTTGGCTGGCCCAGCTGATCTTCAACTCGTGACACACAGGATAAAGCGGGTACAATACTTGGATAGTGAAACAGCTGCTCGGTGGCTTTACCGGCTCATGCAAGACGATTTCATGGTCAAGTAAATTAAGAGTGGAATCAACATGGGAGATGAGTCACTCGTTCGACGCCCCACCAGCCAATCATTTTACTGTGCGACTGGGGCAATGGGAAATGATTGCCGTTCGAGGCATCGGGGCGAAGGCCCCGATGCCTCGGAATTATGTTTCTCCCTCTCTTCCGCTGACCACCGAATTCCTATCTACGTTGGCACTGGTTGAAGGCATTGGCTTACGCGGGTACCGCGTAAGCCAGAGAATCGTCCTGGCCGGGACGCGTTACCGTCCCTGTCTGAGTTTAGGGGGCGAACTTCGCTGTATCACATGATCAAGGCTGAATATACGGGCAGTGCCTAATGAAATAGTCCGTATATGGGACTTATATTCAGGAAATTACAACCTTAGCCACATCGTATTAGGTTTCCACGTTAGTTTCGTTCTGCCCTGCTGAACCACGGGGCATTACTGTAACGCTTGTTCTCTGGCCCTTATCTGACCGGAGAGGAGCCGCAATGTAGGCAAAGGCTTAAAGCAAGAGTTTCCCAAAAGCAGCTGACATCCTTCCCCGGTCCCTAGGCATCCTGGGCGTTGAGCTCAGGGCCTGGGCGTTGCGGGGAGGAGGCAGCCAGAAATGGGGGATGCAGCGCACCCCGCTGCGGCTGGCAGTGCAGGCCAGCCCCGCGCGTGCACGAAAGGAAGCTTCAGGGAAGCTTCCTTTGCTGCATGATTTGCCTCTGAACGAACTTGTAGAACGTTTGCAAGCGCTTACACGCAGCATGCCAAAACCGCCGAAAGGCTCCTGAGCTAACTCTGCGCTAACATGCTACAATTACAGCCGGTAGAGCACTGCATATATCTGTGGTGTGTGGCTGAGGCACTAACGGAATGTTGCCACCGCACAAAAATATGACAATTAATGTAAGAAACACGATACGACCTAATACACACGCTTCGCGCCTCTAGCGAAACCCTAGCAATGCTACGTCCGCTGTGTAGTGCGGGCGCACAACAATGCGGCAATTCCCAGGGTTTCGAAGTCGAAACGAGGTAGTTGATGGTTCACCACCGGCTACCTTGTTTCGACTTCTCACCGACTGTGTTTTTTAACGTATCTTATTTTTTATATCTATTTGCTCTTCTTATTATTGGAGCGCAATTACCTCAACAAGTGTTTATCTCCCATGGTAGATTCTTCACCGTAATATATCTTTTAAGTACATTTAGCTTTTGCAAGCTGTAATTCTTTCTTAATTTTAAAAAATTTCAACAATTATATGTGAGTTATAGTATTTTAACTGCTGCAAACCATAAAGAATTAGGTATTTACTATGTATGGTTTGCTTTCCTTCTTTCAATCGTAGATGTTGGAATTGCCACATTGTTGTGCGCCCGCACTACACAGCGTACGTAGCGTCGCAACACACTCGAGGTGGTGGTCCAGTCCCAAACTTGAGAGCAGCCGACACTCCTGAACAGTATATTCTGGACTTTTATTTGTGCTTTGACATTTGGAGTTACTTTTAGTCGGCGGAAACTTCAGTCTCACTAGTCGGTGGAAGTGGCACCCGAGCGGGCAACTTTCGCCAGAGCAAGCTTCGTGGTCTAGGATTCCTGCGCCATTCAGACGGGGCTACCGGGTTATTTGGACAACTGTGTACTCGATTTCCGATCAATAAAGGGCAGGCTTCTGCTTCTTGCTCATGCAAAAGCATCAGGGCGAGAGTCTTCCAGGATGATCTTCGTACTGTCCCACTCTCGCCAATGGCTGGTCCGGACCCCAAACGCATGTACATTGCGATCAATTCGCAGAACCTTGACGCCCTTAAACCAGAAAAGCCCTATTGGAGCAAGCCGTTCGTCTTTGTGAATCCGTCGTAGGTCGCGTGCCCTCTTGTTCTGACCACACGCGTATGAGCTCCGATGCTTGTATTGGGAGCAGTTGACGCAGATCGACAGCACCTAAGCAACTGCTAAACAATGCTACCTGTGCCATATTTGAGACATAGCCATACCTTAAGAGTGGCTCGGGTGTTTACGGGTTGCGACACGCTCAGGGGGACAGGCACAAAGTACACTTCCCTCCAGGCGGCAATGATGCTCCAGAAGATGAAGGTCGTTGACTTTCTGTTGGACCAGCCGTCAGTGGATTTGACCGTGAAGAGCACAGATGGGAAAAACACCTTGACGGTTGCTGTCGAAGCAAAAGTACGACTCAGACCCCGCCGTGGCACCCGTGTGTATGCCACTTTGCATATGGGCAGTAACCTGCAACGTTTCGTCGATAGAAGCCTGCATAGGGACCCATGCGCATGCATGTGAATTCGAATGCGTTCATTTCAGATGGGAGTCGGGACGCTAGAAAAAATTCTTCGCAAACTCGACTTACGATGTCTTGCTGAAGTGGATTCTTCGGGCAAAGGACCAATAGACTATGCAGAACCTGGAACAGACGGTTCGTTTAGTATCCACACTCTGTAAAACTTGCTACTGTGATAGCTACCTTTGCTATGCGTAGTCAGTCAAGGGACAGCTGATCAGACTAAGGCTGCCACTTTCACGCTCGTAGGGAGATGCCGCTGCATTCGGCATGTTCCACCTATTTTTACTTGATTTGACGGTGTGTGTTGCTTCCGAGCAGTCTATGAGTTTCTTCACTCGATGGGATGCAAGACACGCCATGAGAAAGAGGTTGCAATGGCAGGGTTCTTCGGAGAAAGTGTGAAGGGTACGGTCCCAGGTGTCAGCGAGCGCCAACGGCGACGCAAGGTAGGAAACTCGCCGCGAAACAAGGCAGAGAAGAAGACCGGCACCATTGGAACCAACCATTCATCATCTGAAGAGGAACAGAAGAGTTCTCAAGTCTCTGAATATGCCTGTAGTAGCGAAGAAGAGGAAGATGCCCTATGGAGGCACTTCGATGACATTGATGAACTGGAACAAGCTCTGAGGGCCTATATAGATGAGTGGGGGGAAGATCATGACGACGGCGAAAGCTGCGCTCATTGGCTGAGAAGCGTCTCACGTGCAAGGGAAACGGGGAAGACTGACAAGTTATTGATGAAGTGGAACGCCACTATTCAAGGACTAAACACGAGCAATGGGGATGAAGGCGAAGATGAAACCAAAGACAGTGTGAAGAAGAATCCCAAGAAAGCGTCCACGAGGGGAAGGTCAACTGAAAGAGCTTCCCCAACAGCCCGTGATGGTGGAGGCTCAGCACGTCCGCGAGGACGCCGGACAGGTTCCGCGACGGTGGATCCGGAAGCCGTCAAACTGTTCTTCTCAGGCAAAGCTGGAGACCAGGTGGGCTGAGAACGCGTACTGGAAATTATTTGCATTTCCATGCGGGTGCAATATAAGCCGTTGTATCAAGAGCCACTAGTCGTGTTGGGACTAGCGAGCTATATATAATGCACACTTATGGCGTCTCTGTGCGTCTCATGCGACATGATCAGGTAAACTTGAGGAACACAGGAAAACACACGCATCGTCTTACTTTCGTTGTGTCATCCAGATCAGCCTCAGTGGCTCCGTCTGAAAAGCGAGCTGATGAGGAGGACAAATGATTACTATTACCATGTCCTTTTCCAGCAAGCACAAGTGAGAGGTCGGCGGGTTAAGAGCCAGGCGAGCTCGGGGTCAACAGCTTGCTACCGTTAACCAAATCGGAATGTTTGCTGGGGCCCAAGTGCCTCATGATGGAGGCGTTACACTTCGTGACCGCCTTCAAAATCTGAGGGACTTCAACACCTCCACATGTGACTCCCGTTTCAAATACTCGTGCTGATTGCTTCGTTTTCTCCCTCATGTTACCTTCTGTGCTGAAGGCATGAATGGGACAGTGAAGCTCATTCCGACGTCGCAGGCGTGCGGTTCTGGTCCATCCTAGTAGCAGCGGATGTTGATTATCCACTACTTCTGTGGTGGAAAATTTGCAAGCGTTCAAGCTTTACGCAGGGAGCTTGCTGGCGTGGGAGCCCATGTTGGCAGTCAAGCAGGTGAAGCGCTTAAATAGCATAAGCTGGAGGGGGGGTTTTCTTCTGCGCGGGGTCCCCTATTATCCCCACATAGCCTGCTTTATTCATCCTTCTAGCACCCCGTTCGCTGCTTTCAAGTGCTCCCTGTAAGAAAGGCCAGGCAGATTGCGCAGGGCGGATAGACGGATAGACGCAGTTTGTTTGCGCAACGGGGTCCGCCCAGGCACTGTGTAACACGGTCTGCAGGAATTTGCTTTCCTAGCCAGGAGTCATTGCAGCTGTTTCAAGCATCATAGCTAGAATTGCCAGCTGTCGCCAGAACGATTGGCCAACTGACATGGAACTTCATGCTTTTGCAGATGAAGCCGGAACTACCCCAAAAATATTCTATTTGACAGGTATTGTTGCTCGAAGAAGTTGCATTAAATGCACCCGTACTTCTGGGTTTTGCCGCTGATAGTGCCATGAAATGATGGCACTTCCGACTTAGCATTGTGAGACGCGTTATGCATCGTTACATGCAGTCGTCAGTTCTTCTGGCATTGAAAACAGGTGGAATGCCAGCGCTTTTGCTTCGTTTTTATTCATATACGCGTGCAAATTACCACCCCTTGTAAGCATGCAAGCAACGCATAAGCTATCTGCGATAGCTGAAAAACTGGGATTTTCCCTAATAGGGTATTTGCGAGCAAGCAAGCGTGTTTCCTCATCTAATTCTGGCGTTCCTTCCTTCGCATGGGCATCTTCTCTGACAGTATCTTCGACTGAAACGACGGATGTAGGGCAGATGATGCAGACAACTCCACCAGCTGCATGCAAATAGAACGGAATGGAGCTATGCTTGCAAGCTCCACTTGTACGCATAGTTCTGGCAATCATGGTCACGGGCGGGTGTGTGAGCTACTCTTAACAACAAGTCGCCCTTGAAGTGTTGCTTTCCTCACCTTCAATGGACCCATCCTTGTCTCGACACGAAGCTAGATTCAATACCTGCTTGCAACCCTCGAAGTATAACAATTGAGAGAGCCGTACAACCCTTGCCTCGGGCAACAGCAGAAGCCGACCAACCAGCAGGCTTACGAACACGATACGCCTTCTCATGAAAGTAGCCATAAGCGCCGCTCCCTCCTACAGCACATTTTACAGTCAACAGTCGGGATACGTCTCATTACAATCTACCTACAAAGTGAGCATGCACACCAAAGCACAAGAAACAGTGACCCACCTGAGGCACACGCCACCCCTGAGCGCCCAAGCCTTGTTCTTCCCCCGTTTTGGTTTCGCAGTGCTTGACAAGAACCGTAGCTCCTGCATGCACCCACTTTATTTTACTTCTTAACAGGCCGTCTAGTTGCTGACATAGCTCCCCTCGTCGAGACTGGGCATGAGCAAGCACTTTACAACAACGCGCCCCGGGGGTTCCATAACAAGTCTTAACCAGGCCCGCCAAGGATTTTGAAAGAAGAAACATTTTCTTTTGCGAATGAACGCGCCGGAACAGCAAATCAGGGTCTAGTGACTCCACATTCCGCGGGTCCCGCAAGTCGCCGGCCAGCTGAAACCGCCAACGCAAAACGAGCAGAAAGCATCAGAAGCACGAGAGAAAAGCAAAACTGCTTTTCAATGAAGCATGAGTCACGCTGACGCGGGTGTGTCGGTAGTCTGGGTAACCTGCATCAAGAATATATGATACGCACCAACGGCGTTCTTTCATCCAAGCCAAAGAAATCGAAGATCATCTGCAACACCCTCGAGCCTTCCGCGTCGCAATTGGTTGGGAGCAAAAGATGGAAGAGACTCCCTGGTTTTGAAGCCGCTGCAGCAAGTGCATACAGACTTCCTTCTTCACTCGCAGATGGTGCTGTTGAAGTGCGCTCAGCAATGTTTTCGAGACTCCCCGAGGCTGCTGCTGGTTGCGTATTAGTATTAAGTTCCTCAGGCAGCAACGTCCCGTCGAGCAAGGGGTTTGGTTCCGGCTCCACTGGATTTGTGGCCTCTGAACTTGTTCCACTTCCCTCAGTTCTGGATGGCGGATCTGGTGAGTCGTTGAAGGCTGATTTCGAGGTTGGTCGTGGGCCCCCGCATCCTCGTGAATTCCGACGGTCGTGCTGCCTCTCCTCTGCAGCAACCCTTACCTTACTTTTGTTGCTTATGAAAATCTGACTGGCATCAAGCTCCGCGACTTTGCGAAGACAGCAAACGAAAAACCCCCCTGTATTGTTGTGGTGAGGCAAAACGCGAACACACTTTTCAAGGGACATTGAATCCGCCCCCAGCGGGGGAAACATCGTGGGCCTGCGTGCGCATCAGAACACATCGAATCCGCTCCCAGCGGGACAAACATCGTGGGCCTGCATGCGCATCAGAACCCTGCAGGACTGCTGTTCCCGTGTGAGGTTATTGAAGTGCCCGTCTGCCAACAAAAAACAGGAGCTTGAGCTAGGCCCTACCGAATCCGATGGTGGAATTCTTCTGGCACCTCATCAAACGCCCGAAAAAAGGTGATCCGACTGCCTGCTGGTGCGTTCGGCGCAGAAGTGTCCTCGGTAAGTGGACACACCTTGGCAGGAGGCGACGGCACAAGCCAAGAAGATTTTCCCTTCGACCACTTGAGACCTGCAGTAGGCACAAGGAAAACTCTAAAGTTGGATGTACTCGGAAACGTCGACGCTACTGCAGAACATTAATGGAATTTTAACAGTGGGGCACTGTGCTGAGGGCAAAGCGAATGCTCCAGCGAAAGTAAAAGCTGCACCGGCAGTAAGCAGTATCTGGGGGAGCAGCTGAACATTGTAATCACCCGGAAGTTCAGGCGGGTCGACGATCTCCACGCGGCCCTTTTGTTGTGATAAAACTGTCGCAATGACGGCCTAAGATCAACGGTAGCGTTCACACTGGGTTTACTCCAAAACTCGCGGGGGCCAACTGAGCCGTTGGCATTACAAATAAGCTGCCTGGTGGCGGTAGAACCTACCTCATCCTCTAGAGGATTTAGCGAACAAGTTGAATAAACAATTCGGCCGTTCACACGTAGGAGCTGGAGGCCACGGTAAAGAATCGATAGCTGAATACGAACGCGTGCTGCACATGTACAGGTTTATATATGTATATATATATATATATATATATATATATATATATATATATATATATATATATATATATATGTGTGTGTGTGCATACACTTAAAAGATGTAAGTTTGCTTCCACGTGCACATATCTGCATTTACGGAAGCAGCTGCAAACGAAACTGAGAGCTATTGTGATTTGAGGAAATACCTGGATTGGGTGCATGCTATGGCCCCCGCCGGCATTCCAGCTCCTCCATACGTCCACGTTCTTCCGCATTGTTCCGTCGCCACTACATGGTACGTCGGCTGACGCACACACAAGTCCGCGAACTACATATATCCCAATCACCGTTATTCCACTGGCAGTTAGACGAGCACGAGTGTTAGAATGAGGCCTACCGAGGATTCTGTCGAACTGCAGTTTTTCCTGCGGTAACAAGTAAACATTTACGAGCCCACATGGGATGCAGAGTTAATCTTAAACGTACTGCAAAATATTTCCTAGGAGGCGAGTACTTCAATCCCACTGGTTCCTACCCTCTAACTAACCTTTTGAGGACCGCCTCCTGCGTTCTCGTGCAGCGTCGGGAAGCAAGCAGCTGCAGCAACAAAGACACCAAACACTGCGACTCTCAATATGCGAACATATCCACATTATTGTGAAGCAATACAGGCCAACGGCTTCTGGAAGAGCAGCTCTGCAGCTTGCATGCTTACCGTCGAGGCAGCTAACTGCCACTGAAGGAGATGCTAGCTTTTGCACCTGGTGTGTTAATGTTACGGCGCGTTTCAAATCAACATCGTTTGCGATGACTGCGCCTGCTCAGTCGTAAGCAAAGGCGAGCGAGAACGAATATGGTATTTAGCTGAGGTCCCGTAACTCTACGCACAGCTCAGCCCCAAAGTTGCGAGAAGTCTGGTTCACTGCGTACTCACATAATGAACGTGAACCGCCACAACGCAGTTATACTACGCTCCCACCCGGTGCCTGAGTAGTAGTGAACACCCCTTGTGTGACTGGTGGCGCCTACCAGTCACTGGCGATATTCCGACAGATCCTTCATTTTCTTTTGACTCACGAAGCCGCGCACTCCACTGCAACATGTCAAGCATTTCCGTTGTCTTAGATCCTGCAAAAGGCAATCTACATTTCAAGTGCATGGCCACTGAGTTCAACATGCTCAAAACCAAACGCCTAGAAACCGGACTATGGTTTAAAAATAAACTCCATCTGCCGCTTGAAAACACCCACGAAAGCCACCAAGTTGTAAACAACGGTTTAAGGTGGCCTATAAGAAACAACAGAATTACCCGGGGACGAACACATATCCAGCACGAGGTGATGTGGCTGTATGTCCAAGAAGAGGCACGGAAGCATGCTGACAGCCTCTTGGCGGGTGAGTGCCCCCTGCAGTCAATCAAACGTTGCACTGTCTAGTGCTATGCACTGGACTGCCTAGACCATAAGTTTTATCAATGACCAACGGATGCCCTGGAGAGGCAATTACTAGTGTTTACGGTTTGGCATCCAGAGGTAGAGAGACGTAGCAGCTCACGAGGTGACACGACGAGCAGGATCGCCGACGCGTCACGTGCACTTCTTACTCGAAAGTCTTCGTTAATAATTTGGGAGCGGATTTCCTTATAAAAACCATCTTTCTTCATGTCCACCTTGCTTGCCGTGTCCCATTGCCCTGTGCATAATTGCTCCTGATGCAAACTAGTACTGTGTGGTGTACCGTGAGGATGCCTTCCATATGGATACCTAAACTTAGTGCTGTCTAAGGCATGAAGGGCGGCGGAACTCACATGCGAACTCATGAGGGAAGAATCCCAAGTGTCGTACGGTACTTTTTCCCTGCAAGCAGATGCAGCGCCGCTCCCCATAAGCCCGGTTGTCATCAACACTGTGACATCTTAGCTGTCTGCGCATAGCTGCCAGCCCCGACTGTCCCTGGAAGGAGCAGAATAAAGGTAAAGGCGTACTCCTTCCATGCTCATCTTACGAAGTAAAGCACGTGTGCTCCTCCACAGAGGGGCAGAGACGTTGACGCGCACAGCAGCTGCAAAAGCCATGGGCAGCACCTAAATGCCCGCCCTTAAGATGACACTACTAGAACGCCGTGTGGGAAGAGAAAGTCCCTGCTACTCAAGCGGCAGCAAGCGAAGAGTAGTGGTAGCCTTTAGCCATTTATTTCGTGTTGGCTCAAGAATATCGATCAGACCAAGCCTTTAAGATGAATCCAAGTAAACACACCTGGGAGACGGAGGCGTTGGATGGCCATGAAGCTGTCCCACTCCTCCAGAGGGCAAATTTCTTGTGCCTGCATGAATGAAGACCTTAGTGAAGAGTACACTCATACACTGCGTGGGCAAACGCCCCCGCTTAACGCCATACCTGAGATTACAAAGGGAATGGATGGCTGTGCAGCCCTTACTCAGAAAAGAGCGGCTACCCAGAACTGTACCTCCGTTTCTACAAATTTAGATTGTTACTGCACCATGAGGCTACAGAGCCTCTTTTTTGGAGACAACTTCCCGTGACTAACTTTATAATATTCCTCATATGCCGCATTTTCGTAGACGATCTCAGAATACGACTCCCTCTGTGGTTGGGATATTTCGTTGTTTGCTTCAGCTGCACGTGCCCTTTGATATTTGGCGGCCCGCCGTTTACCCATTAGTTCGGCGCCCCTGAATGAACGTTTCCCTCTAGCCATTTTCCGAAGATTTATGCAGCGGAACAGAGCCGAGGAGCGAAAGTACTGCTCCTATAGAGCACGACCACCGTAGTCACTGCCCCCCGAGCGAGCGAGCATCCGCGTCTGCAGAAGAGCGTTAAAAACGATAAACAAGGTGTCGGTTACGTGGATGAAAGCTCACCACAGGTGGTGGTTTGTGCAATCTGTTGAAGGAACAGCAGCCCGCATTGGCGGCGTTCATTAGCAGGCGATGGAGGAGTTATTCTGTTGCCCCCTGGAAAATCCCCCGGCCCACGGGCCCCACTAGCGCCCATATAAGTTGAGAAGCCGCTGCTTGTTACTGCCCAAACCGGGAGAAGAATGCACATACCTTTCCGCCAGTGTCGATGCTCTAAACAGGCCCAGAAATGCTCCGGGCACTTTGTAGGTGGCTTCCCAGCGGGATATCTATGATGATAGATAATGTGTCAATATTATGTTTACTGGTCGTGTTCAGTTTCAATAAGTCGATGCGTCCAAAGCTGAAGGTACGCTGTGGCTGCGCATTGCTCAAGCCGATTGCGGGGCCCCACAAAGGAAAATCGCTGTGGTAGCAGCGCACATAAGCATAGAGAAGCATACAAAATAAGTTCCTGCAGTTATTTTTGTCTTTCATCATCTTCGTCTCTTTTGTGTGAGTTAGTTAGCACTGGGATTGTCGAGCGCTCCACAGAAAACGCGGCATTCCGTGGCGAGGTACCGCGGCTTTAAGTATGCGAGACGGGCTCGTTTCTGTTACCTTTGGGATATAACCATATGATTCTCATCTGAAAGTTATTGCTTTCTTCTTCTACGTATAGGGAACATAAGGCTGCTCATATGATTCTCGTTCCCTTGGGTGGTCACCTCACTGCACGTAACGTGAAGCATTGCTGTCAATATTTAGAACGGTGACATTGACTTGCCCTTTGTAGACTACCTGTAGACGAATACATATGTTCAACAAGTGTATGCACAGATAAATCTTGCGGCAAACAATGTTTGGTTATATATGCTCGTGGGAATCTTGCATCATCAGTTGCAGGAGGTCGCGTTGCAACTCATAGCAGGCCGCCTGATCTCCCGCAGCTCCAGAGCGTGAACCACTTCTCGCAGGACATCTGGAGACACGGGAGGGGGGTCAAACTCTTTGAGGAAACTCTTAATTTGAGTCTTTGACTTCATTGCAGCTCGCGCCGATCCTCGAATGAGGCGGAAGACTCTCGCTATATATGAACGCTTGTAGCATGGCCTGTGTGAAGGCGGTCCGCAAATTTCTACATGTGTCTTAAGGTACTGCGGCGAGGTGCAATCTGCCGGACTATTCGCTGGCCCATCTACTAAAACTACGCCCATGGTGGGCAGGACAAGGGGGTCGGTTAAGCTATGATCCAAAAATGCGGTATCATCACATATATGGATCATCCTACCTCGATACATGGCGTCTGTGCTGGGCAATTTTTCCACGAGTTAATCGCAAGCATGCCCTGGGGGACTCTATGGACGGCTTTATGCTTCCGGCACACGGTATCACTGCCGCCATTTTGCCTTGAAGCAATGAAGTCATGCGCATCTCAGCTGTGACAGCTGCGCTTGCATCCTCTACTGTAACAAGAGTGGGATCAACGTCTTAAGGAGATATGAATGACGAGCATTTTATGCAGTATTCCGGGAAACGAGGGTGAAATGCGTGCACTCCGAAGTGCTGGTCTTACGAAGATCGCAGTTTTGGGGGGGTTCGATCCAGCTAGCGACCTACGAACAGCAGAAGCGGGAACAATTGAAGGTATAGCTCTCTGACGGTTTTCGTAGTACAGAACTTCCAGCAGGCCAATTATCCAATGAACTCCTCGTCAGCTCACTCGAGGAGTACCCGGAAGATTTGCTTCAAGGTTCATGAAACGCTTAGATCTTGAAGAGGGAATCATATGCATACGAACTGAACAGAAGCGGCAGAGATGAACCATCAACTGGTGCATTTGTACACAGTCCGGCGCACGCGGAAAAGGATGACGCGGGCTGTCACATAGGCGTCTAAGCCCTTCAACAAAGCCACTGTGTGACGAAGTTTCTGATGCCAACTCCTTTACCGCTTGCGAGGGCCAGCCATTTATCATTTGAATTCGCTGAGTTTTTGCCGACCTTGAAACATCGTGACAGCAGGATCAAGAGTGCGCAGCACTCTTGGTCCTGCTGTCATGATGTAGCCGTAGTCGAAAATACACCTATATTGCCGTTTGGGCTCGTAATTACATCTGCTGCACTACAGCGGCAAATTAATCAGGACACTTTCTGGGTAGTTGCTGATGGGTGAATAGCTATATAGGTGAACCAGGTGATTCTCTGCAGGCGGAATGTGCAGGAGCAGTTGCTGCTCGTCTAGAGTGCTTTGTAAGGGCTACGTAAGCAAAAAGGACTCGCGAAAGCACAAAAGCGCTCGTTCTTCCTGCAAGCAATCCATGCTTTAGAACTTTGTCTCTGTGCAGCCACAGAGGAATCAGATAGTGATTGTTGTGAGTATTCACTACACTCACTCGAAAGTTATCGCTTCCTCTGGACGCTTGCATTATGTAGCATGCTCTGCCTACAGTTAGCACAGGAATCTTCACCTGGCCTTGATAGGTGGCGCGTAAACAAATACAAGCGTTCTATACGTGCATGCAGAGGTAAAGCATGCAGTAAAGGAAGCTGCATCGGAGCTTCCTTGGGTGCAAACGTGAGGGTGGCTTGTATCACCAGCGGCAGCGCGGTGCGCTGCTACTCGGTTTCAGGCAGCCGCCTCACCGTAACACGCAGCCCCTGAGCTCAACGCCCAGGAGGCACCTCCGGATCCTGCGTATTTTAAAGCTGTGCGGTGGCGGCGGCTCGTTCACATCCTTCTTTAGGCTGGGATACCACCGGTTAAAATGTCGCTAAACCGAAAAGAGCTTTATGCGCCGCCGTAGTGACCTGTGGCAGACCTGGTCTACTGCAGGGGCATGAGTTAAACAGCAGCAGCAAAACCAGCTTTTCCTCCAACAGTAGCCCATTCAGCGGCCGTACACTTCCGAAGAACTATACTCGCACCCCAGTATGTGGGATTTGCTCTCAATGACATTGCATGCTTTTTCTGAAGTTGGGACACTACATCTGGGGCCAGTCAGGTGTTGAAGAATTGGTTCCAACGGTAGCGTGTGCACTAGAAGCGAGCTTTGATATACCTGCATCTGGAGTTGCTGCAGCAGCAAAACAATGAGTTGAAACTCATGGCTGGCTATTTATTCACCTCGTCAGATCTGTTTCCTTGGGATGCTGCGCCTAGGACGCCAGGCGTGTGGGCACGTTGGTTGCTGCTCGAAATACGCTACCCTGTATGCTCACATCCGACCCTCTGAAGCGTGTGGGAATATGAAAAGTGCAACACTCCTTACATTTCGAGTTTATTGAAGCTTAAGGCAGTCATCTGTTCATGTGGAAGCTCAGTGCTCAGGACTGCCCCTCTGAAGCATGCGATACTATGTAGCGTGCAGCATTCCTGGCGCCAACGCCTACTGCAAGACAACCCAACATCGCAGCATACCCAAGACACCTTCGCTGTCTGTAATCACTCTGCATACAGTGGTTAAACTCTTCCTTGGCCGTCAGGAGCCAGCATCCATGCAAGTAGTAGTACATGCACCAACATCAGACCGACCATGCTACACACAGCATCCTACAGTCACAATTTTTGCATAAGAACTGCACTGCAAATAACTCGCAGCAGTGTACTATAGCAACCGAATTCTGATCCGTGATTGGGAAGTTTCTCTGCATAACGATCAGTCAGCGATCGGCACCGTACGAAATAGTCGCATCTGGTCAACGTGCCAAAACGGGCACGGGGGCGAGTTTGCAGGCTCGGTTGAAAATCGTAAAATGGAAAACCGCACACCTGGATGGCCAGGTTAATGGATAAAATAGTTTTCGGGTGCCTTGAAGCTAAACAGAAGGGGAAAGCTGCGGGATCCTGGGCAGCGTGGAGACTTTGAGGGGACACGCCGAAGGGATCCTGTGAGCACCTCTTCGCCCATGACTGCTGAGCAAGCTTGAGCGGCTCTACAAGCGCTTTGTCGCTCAAGTGGGGAAATATAGAGCGATTGGGGCAACATAATATCAAGTCATTATCGCTGCATCCACCAAACCTAGGGCCTCTCACTTCGCCTGGTGTTACCCCCGCCTTCGTTCGACCCCGCCAAGAAACCTCCATTGGAAACTCGCAATTTTCGCAACTATTGCGCCCCTATGCCTAATTATTCGTTGAAAGGCACTGTTTTATACCTTCTCAATCGAGAATCACGGTTTTTCTCCCCCCGTTGCCCGCGATTTGCGTACCAACAACTCCCACGATCCGTTGGGTTGCGGCTCTAAACGCTACACATCAGCTTTGAACTCGGGAGGAAAACCATAGTCAGAGAATCATTCCATTCAAGGTGTGGGGAAGCTAATTAGTCATTGCATGCGGGTCCATACGATGTTGACTGCTTCGCCAAACATGAAATGGGCATCATTCAGGCTACTGTGCTTGGTAACATGTATATACGAGCTTGCTACTTCACGTGCAGCTTTGGGAGATGTGGAACATGTCGAGGATCCGGCTGCAGACGGGTCTTTCAGACAGCTGGCCATTGCGTGGGTTTCGGACATCCATTTGCAGCCGCACTACTCCATGCTGGCTCACCCAAAGGAACGCTGCGGTAGACGAAGAGGGGAACCGACCGACTCCCCCGAGTCCCCCGGAGGGATATACCTCGAAGTTGAAACAGGCCCCGAGTTAGGGCGCGCGGGATGCGGCTCTTCGCGCATATTGTTCGATGAAACCCTTAACTTTTTGAACGGTCTTGTGATCCAAAGCCGGGCAGCAGCAGCTGCCGGTAACCCCACTACGTCCCCTACAGCTTCTTCGGCCCCGAAAACTGCCTTTACTCATTACCCTTTGCCACCCATTAACACAATTTTGCTTACGGGGGATTTTGCACACGCCCGAAAGGACGTTGATCCAAATTATCTGTAAGCCCCTGTCTAAGCTCTAAAGCTCTTGTGCGATCCTTCCCGTCAGCCCCAGGATCCAACCAGCCATCCAAACTTACTGCGCATAGTGTTTTAAACGCCCGCATGTTCAGGGAGGACGCTCTTAAGGAGTTCACAAGCGGCCTTTTCGAACGGTTTCCCCAGAATTCCAAATCCATTCGGCAAGGGCACAGCGGAGCTTCTGCGTCAGAAGGGATACAGCTCGTCTTAGTTGTGGGAAACCACGACTTCCCGCCTGCGGCACTTCTCCCTCCGCAGCGTACACGGTGGGCACATACGCTGTACGACATCTGGAAGCCAGCGCTTCCAGAAGGCGAGAAAACTCGTGAGGTACGCTTTTCGTGCAACAGATACCCGTTCATGCATTCATTTCAATGCTTTAGGGCAGAAGCTTCTAGCGAGAAAGTGAAGGGACGCCTAACATTGGTACAGCTTTTTGTTATTACAACATCAATCTGCGCTCTCCAGGACGCTTGTGCGCTGCAGACGTTCCTACGAGGAATGTACTATTCTACAGACCTGCGGGAGGAACCTAAAATGCGCGTGATATGCCTAAACACGAATTTCTACGCTGTAAAGCTGCGAAAGGCGGCAATAGCCCTTATACAGTCCAATAAGCATGAACTCGCTGGAGAGGAGACCGCTACTTCGCTCCCAGCCGCTGGAGAGGATGCAGCCGAAGAAGCTGACCCAGGTTGCCTGTTTTTTTCTCCCCTCGAGCTCCCACTCATGCCTCCCTCCATTTCCCTGTAGAATAACGAAGCTTTACGTAATCGTATTCAACTGTGCTGCTCCCTCCTTTGTTCATATGCCGCAGCGGGACAATTTGAGTGGCTGGAGGAAGAGCTCCGCTCTGCGCGAGCACGCGGACAACAAGTAAGGACGATAACCACATGATCATGCGTAGATCTGGTGCACACAGCAAATGGGCAGCATCCGTCTTTGACGCCACTAGGCGCTTCCAAAGGTGGTAGTGAGCTTTTCAGAATTTCATGATGGTGCCAACAGAGAGTGTCGAGGTGTGCCGCTGAACCGCAGGTCATAATATGTGGACACGTAATGCCTGGACTGACTGTGCGGTTGAACGAATTTGCATATTTCCGTGATAACTGGGAAAGCGCGTATACGGCCAGGTAAGTAAGGATAAAACTTGAGAGCGAAGTGTCAAACACCTAACAGCAAGCAGCAGAACAGAAACGTGTGTTGGTGTTGCCTGCGCACTGCAGATACAGGGATTTAATTTCAGCCTATTCAGATGTAGTTGCTGCCCAACTTTACGGGCATCAGCATGAGGGAACGATGGTAGTGCTCCCTCCCAGAGGTACACAAGCTTGGAAGGACGCTCCGACTGCTGGGCCCCGCTGCAATCCTCGTCAACCCAACCTGCCCACAGCTCTTCTCACCATTCCTTCAATCTCCCCCCAGAACGGCAACAACCCAACAATGCGCGTGTTAGTGTTTGATGGAGTCCAAGACAATCATCAGCAGCCCCAGGAATATGAAGAACGGGAAAGAGCGGGTGCAGGCGCTTATGCGCTGGCAGACTATGCGCAGTACCATTTACCCTTGTATGGGTTTGTCGGGCACTCAGGATTTGGAAGAACAGGTCCAGCCTTCGAATTTGAGTCGTCCTTTCAAGACATCTTCAGGCCTTTCATGAGGTGCGCTAAGCCGAGCCAGCTCTCTCTGGCAAGTGCGGCAAAAGGCCGGAAATGCTCCGGGCCCACCAGGTGTATTGACGGTTCGACTGCTCTTCAAGTCGCAGATGCTCTTGAACGCTCGCCATTCGCATACGCCGAGTACATGAAGCACCGCTATGCTGGAGGGAAGGACGTTGCGAGCAAAGCAGCCAGTTGCGGTTCGCTTGCTGTGACAGAAGAGGATTTTATTGAGTGTATTTATCAAATGAAGTGATGCAAAATAAGTTGCTTGAGACTCCCGCTTTTTAAAGGAGGCACATATGAGCCCGTGGGTTTCTCGCCTGCTTTTGAGAAAGTGCAGCTGTGGCTCTCAATTGGCCGCTTACCTCATGATTGTAATTATGCAGGTGGTAGCGCACTCCTGTCGAGTGCCACAGCGTCTTGCAGGTGACAACCCTGTGCACAGATCACTTTGAGTGAATGGCTATGCACAAATATAAGTTGTTCCTTTGTTCGAGGCTTTGCCTCATCTAGGCAAGCTCTTTAAGAGGAAAACAAAGCCATCGCTTGGTGAGCAGCTGCATTTTGAAGCTATCGGAGTCCAAGCTATTTATTTCAACTAGTTCAACTGGGTAGCGGAGCAAATTAGAATCTCTTCACCCTGGGAAGTGCCGATGCAGATATGCTGCTGGCCAAAATCTACGTAACGCGTATTGCCGGCTTAAATAGCAAATAGCTAGACTGCTTGCGAATACTGACTATAGTAGCCGTTCTAAAATCTACAGGTGGAAGGGCCGACTCGCTTTGGGCGGAAATGGGGTATGAACTGCAGTAGGCGTTGCAATTCAGAAGGGAAAAAGTGGAGAACTGTTTAAGCGACGTGCACCTGAGAGGTATGCGTGCTTAGAGTGGCTTCACTTCAGGCCATTCTCAAATTCGCATCGCTGGGCTCTACCGCCCGTGGCTTGAGCACTCCTTCTAAAGGAACCGCCGATTGTCGCAGATATCAATGGATGCTTGCATCTGCAGCATTGCTTCTGCACCAAGTGGGACACCGTCAGTGGCGCCGAATACACACTGACTCCCGGCAGCCTCCTTCCACGTGGCTGGGCCAGTCCCCCCGCTAACGTTCTTTACTATGTATGCAGGTAAAGCTCGGCTGCCCAACGTTGAGAGCTTTTCGTCCGCGCGCTGTACTGGTAAAAGGTGTCAGTGAAGATGTGCTTTATTGAGGCAGAATGACAGAACAAAGAAAAATGTGCGGTGAACAGGGGAAACTCGACAATAATCTACAGAGAGGCGCTCCGTTAGTTTGCAGGGAAAGGTTGTAGATCTGAAAAAGCATTCTATTCGTGGGTTACTATAGGTTCCGTAGACTAGGCAATGGCAAAGGCGTACTATGCAAATATTCTGCTATCCTCGGTGACTTTGACTCCGTGCAGGAGTTTAGGTCAACGAATAGTGCTTTGCCGAGCAATGTCCGCTGTTCTGTATCTTCTTCGATGCGGCCCCTTACGAAGCATGAACGGACAGCGGCAGGTCAGCCAGCAGGTAACGCTGCCCTCACCAGCTGGTGAAAGAAGCACGACTGTGCAAAAAATTGCGCACCAAACAGCTTAACACCTGCAGGAAGCAATCATGCTGTGTTTCAAGCCAACGGGACACTTCATGGATATATCGCCGCGCACAATTTTAGTGCCATTGTTCGCATCACACGATTGTGACATAGTCAAACTTGGGGCAGGGGGAGTAGCATCCTACAACACCTGCGATACAAGGGACGATAAAACAAAGCAGTTGTAGCAGCTGGCCATGTACGGTTTTCCAGTCTTAGCCAGCTATCCCTTCACGGAAAGACAGGAAAGTCTACACCTGGGTACAGACTCGCCCCTGTGGCGCTTGGGCAAGAAGATAGTGGCTTGCAAGGTGAAAACAAGTGCCTTTGCGAGAACCATGAGCAGCAGAAGCAACACTACGTCAACTCCCCACAGCCACTTAAGGGCGCTGCCCTTGTGGCCATAAGCACGACCTGCGATGCCAAACGTCTGGTAGGCATCTTCCTTTGTTTGCAACAGAAGGTTGCCGCTGGCATCCGAGGGGTCGTCTCGAAACTCATAAGTCTCCAAAATGCATATTGCCAAACCCTCAAAAACCAGAAAAAACGGGCTTAAGTACGAGATCCATGCTATCCCATGAGGCAACGACGCTGGATTGGTTGTGAAGCCATTGACAAACATCAGCAACATGAACAGGAGAGTCGCAGAGGCATTTGCCTCTGCAAAAGATGTGCTCGCCAAGGAACAAATTGCAGTTATCGAATCGCATATTACGAATCCTAGGGATCCAACGAGGTAACAGACCAGTAGAGGCAAGAACGGAAATCCGAATAAGAGCCACATAATCGTGACAAGCACTGCATCGCCCACCAACACGAAAAAGTTAGCCACCAGGGATGTTGCGAACATGTAGGGCACGGGAGAATAGTATCCATCCTCGACTTCGACTCGATACTGAGCCTTCTGCTGGACGTACAGCGGCACAGTCCACAGAGACGAGGCCAGATGGCTGAGGAGCATCAGAAAAAGGGCGGAAAGCTGGTAATACACGGATGCACGGTTACGGACACCAAAGAATACAGCTCCAATCACCAGCCCTTGAACAATCGAGTCGCCCATGATCGCAGCCAGAGTAGAGTGGCTTCTTAACCACAACCGAAGTGCGCGTTTTCCAACCTCTTTGAATTGAACATAAGGACCCGCCAATGCCAATTCGCCTACCTGCAAACGTACACATTCTCGCAGTCAATTGGGAGAATCGTTAGCACCGCTGCCAGCTGGTGACGGCGCAAATACTGGCGAAAGTGCAGTTTCAGAGGCTTGACAGAGGCGCCTCTGTTGAAGGGTTTGTTGACACACCGGGTCCTCCAGCGGCGAAGGGGGGCATTCGTAAGCGCGGCGTACTCTGGATTGCACCAGCGGCTTCATGAGTGCGTCGTATATGTCTGCGAGTTCGCCGGCGTGTTTGCTACCCTGTGATACGAGATCTAAGTATAAGTCTGCAGGGTTTTGGTGAGGAGGGCAGGGGAACCCTAATGCGCTGAAATACTGCAACGCCGCATCCACGCAGCCGTTGTAAACGCAACGGCCCTCATGGCTCAGCAATAACAGATGATCGAAGCACCGCATTATTGCATGGGACGGCTGGTGAATCACCGCTACCACCGCCATGCCGCACTCTACACACAGCCGCCGGAGAGCATCCACAACCAGCTGCGCATCTGCAGTGGACAGACCAGTGGTCGGCTCGTCGCACAACAAGATCTTTGCGTCGCTCATCAAGCCTGAAGGATGCTCACAGGAAAAATCCCGTCGCAGCAAGTTGCAGTCCCTGAACAGGGAAGTGGAGATAGTGGCAGTGCACCAAAATCTGAGCTGGTTGACCGGCCCAGACGGTGGAAACCAGAATTTTCACCTCACCATAATATCGCTCTATATAGATATACACAGAGACGATTGCAATTGGACGGCTCACCAATGCCGAGAGTCAGCCGCCGTTTCTGGCCTCCAGATATCCCGCGATGCGTGCTTGTGCCTACGTTGCTTGTCTGCACTTCAGCGAGACCCAGGAGGCTGAGGGTTCGCTGCACCGCTTCATGTTCTCGGCTTTTTCTCTTTTCAGGCCCCCAGTCACGCGGAACTGCAGTGCGGAGTCTGTAGGAGAACTCGAGGCATTCGACAACTTTCTCGTTGCCGTCAAAGATGTCATCTTGAGTAACGTAAGACGAAAACTGCAGACAGAAGATGGCTCAACCGGACAACTCCAAATTACGGTGTGGGTGAGATATCCAAAGTGCGGGCTAACATTGGGGCTAAATTCTCTAGAACGCTACAAAAAACAACGACATGTTCGGAAAACATACAGATTCCGACGCCTCAACAATCGCTTATTGTCGTCGGTGCACTCTTACACAACTAAAATGCACCCACGCGGTCAAATTCTTTTGTCGGAGGCCGTCCGTTGAAGGCAACGCGACCAGAGTGCGCTAAACTGGCACGCCCCGAGAGGATACCCATAAGAGTTGTCTTGCCACAACCGCTTGGCCCCATGACGGCTACAAGTGACCCTGCGCAAGATAAGAGTTGTGTAAATGCAAGTGCATGTGAAAAAGGAGCTACTGCAGGGGCGCGCCCAAGTGGGGTCAGGGACGAGCAACGTCAGTAAGTAGCTCAACGGGCAGTCACGAAGTGTCTTGTGCTGCCAAACGGCATACCTGATCGAATAACAGCTGACAACGGATGAAGAATGGGCTCTAGAGGCTGCACGTCGATTCGCGCGAGCCGTCCCGTCCGTAAGAAGGCCTTCCAATTTGTCTGCTTCAACGAAGATAGCAGCGGCGCGCGATCAAAACACTTCGTGCGAGGAGGAAGAGTGCAGGATACTTCGTCGAGCGTCAGCTCAAACTGTACGTGCTCCTGAAACGCAGAACTCCCGCAACGTTATGTAGGGACACTCAACGCCCTACTCCCGTGCGAAATTGGTGAAGACGGGCCACAACGTAGCAGCTCACCTGCTGTAGGCCCTCTTCAGTGCCCATACGAACTGCAGCACTCGCAGCTGCAAGCTGTTCGTCTGTAAATGAGCGCTGTCCGATTGACAAGTCCCCGACGCGCCCGAATCCACTGGCCTCCTGCAAGCGCAGACTTCATGGGGAAGAAATTGCCTCACCGTCAGAACAAAAGGCTGAGCCTTAGCTGTCGATTCACTCCTTTTCAACTGTTTCCAGCGCCGCACTTACTGTCTCGTTCTCTTTGCGTGGTTCTCTATCCAGACCCTTCAACTCCACAACCACATGGTCGCCCCCCTGATCGAGGAAAGGCAAGCGACCTTCTAGTGCGCTCATTGTATAAACAGTCCTCAAATTTCAAAAGAAGACGACCAACAGTGTTGGTTTTGTAGTGCGACAGCGCTGCACCCTTGAGGCTCGCCCGCATAACCACGTGTCCCAAACGTGATACTGGGAGTGGTCTGGGCACAGATTTGGCTGCCTTAATTCAAATGCATTATGAAGCAGTCAGTAATGGATTTCGTCCTGTGCTGGGTTTTCCTCTACTTCCTGCGGTGACCGCCCAATCGCTACAGGGACGCAACGCTGGACCACAATCATCGAGGAAGGCCGAAAGCAGGTAAAGTCTGTGTAAGCCCAGTTTCAAGAGGAAAGCAAAAAGGAACTTTATAGCATACTCGACGAACAAGAACCCTTCCAGAGCTAGGTGTACCAGGCTCCCTAAACAATCGCTTCTTGACCCCCTGGGGGCCCCCTACCCCGACACTAGCCTGAGGGTTCTGTTGGGCCCCGTCTCCGAACATTAAATGCAATTCTTAAGTTAACATTCTGAGGTTGTTTTCGCGATGATTAACCATCGTGAATATTCTCTAGCCCATCCTTTCTCACGTGCGGGTTTCTTGCGTAGGGCCGATGCCGACTGCTCCAATCCGCCCCGTAAGTAAGGCCTGAAAAAGTACTTTGAGCCCCCTCAGAATATGGGTCCTGCGACAAGCTACACGAAGGTATCTCATGTCTCTGGTAAGCTTGGAAGAGCTGGGCTGTAGCGGACCTTGTTCCCGCTGCAACGCTGCGAATGGACCCGAAGGACGACACGCCTTTGGTCAGCGCTTCTAACCGGCCGACACGGAAGAGGAAGCAAAGCAAAACCCATAGGGGCCAAGACGGGAGCAAGAATGGCAGGAAAAGGGGCATCCTCGTGCGGCAGGAAGGTCAGCCTTCACTGACATGGCTCCTCCCAGGAGCTGCCAGGGCGCAGCGCCGTCCGTTACCTCGCCCAACGAAACCTCCACCACCAGGCATCACTCCTCAGAGAAGGTACAACGAAGTGTTGCCTCCTTTCAGCGTCGGCGTAGACCTAGACAGTTGCGCGTGTTCGTACAGTGCCGCGCAGATCCTTTTTTTTGGCCATAGCGAAAGCATAAACTGATTTGCGTGTCTTCTGGAGTTTGTTCTTTTTTACGCTTATCCGAGCCTTAGGATTGGCGTTTGGAGGCGAGTGCGCGAGGGAGGAGACACGGGGACGGCCGTCTTCGTGACGCTTGAGGGCGAGATCGCCACCAAGGTGCAACAACACACTCTCCGCACCCATTGACAGCTTTTAGTTTGGAGTATCTGCTGCTTACTAAGATGCTTCACATCTTCCGTCCTGTTGTACCAGCGTTGAGTCTTGCGGATCCCCTATATTTTGACATAAGAGGGAGGGCTAGTATGGATTGGCAGGGTAGTCAGTCTGTCCGACAACGGCATTTTTTGCGTGCGATCTCGTCAGCCTCACAGCTACCACGCTGCCCAGCGAGATGAAGCAATTCTTGCCGCTGCGGGGATCCGTGGTAGGTACACAACTGTCAGTCTCAAAGAGCTGTAGAGACCTGTTTTGTACCAAGTGTGGTTGTGGGGTGTGAACACATATGGAAGTGAACATGCACCGCTCGTGTGAATATGCACCAACTTTCATCCGCTTGTCGCCAGATACTCTTAAGTACCTAGTGGAGTGCCCGTGCTTGCGCGTGCTTATGTGTAACCATTTATGTGGCTGCCGGTATGCAATTACATGCGGTTGCTCAAAGGAGTACCTCCACTCGAATGTACCTGCAAATGAGGTTACTGTGACCATATGCGAGCTCACCACATGGGGCAGGGCTTCTATCATCTACGGCGCATCAATCATCAGTGTACTTTCTAAATTTATCATTCGGTTAAATCTTTTCCGTCTACGCAGTTGTCGCATATTGAATCTGTAGTGGCAACTGGTCACTTTGTGTTCGGTAATTTTTGGATGTGAGAATCCTGTGTAATCAAATGCCACTAATGCCTGCAAATGGGTTAAATTTTCGTGTAGCTGTACACTCCTTATGTTCAAGGTAGATAAACGGTTGACACGAGCGCAGCCGTCTGTGATGTGTTGGCGGCGCTGCTCAATACTGCTGGTTCATGCAACGATATATGGGTTGTGCGCTTCTTTCATGTATTCAAGTGGCATATTCGATTATATTTTGGCTAGCCATCTCATCTGCGTCTGCCACTGGCATGCTGATTAACAGATAGTCCTTTACGTAAACAGACGTCAGAAGTCCCTGCTCCCTACTGACGTATCATGTGAAGGCAGCAATAGTGAGGCTACGGCCATGGCGGCCGTGCTGTTGACTGTAACGTGCTGTACAGGACGCGGCAAAGGGAGCCGTATAGAAGTCCCGGAGAGCGTCCCTCCGTATGCATTTGCATCCATGACGAGCAGTGAACTGGAGCTACAATACTGGTGCCTTCCGCCACCTCTTACAAGGCAAGCGTCCTCCTCTTATTTGACCATAATTGCCACTTAGCGCTCAAAATAAGGGATTCCAGAGGATACTTAATCATGGATATCAGTGGATATCGTCTAACGTTCGAAAGCCAGCCGATAGTTAACTGCTGCAGGGCATATGCTGCTCTTGGGGTCAGTAGTCTCTACCCATGGCAAGCGCAGTGCCTGCATCTGGCGCTGCCTAGGAAGCGTCAAGCAGCCAACACAGAAGGTGAGGAGACGGCATGCAGAGGAGCTTGTAGGCCGCAGTGCGTTGGCAGTGAAGGCAGTGTACGGTGGTGGATAACATCTTTTGCAGTAGATCACCTTAGCATTTAGCTGCGCCCTTCCTGCAGGAGCGGTTCCGTGGAGATCTCTGGTGTACTGCGCCCCGACATCAGGCGGGAAGAGTCTTGTGGCTGAAGTGCTGATTTCCCGGTAGGAATAACTAGCCTTGTAGTCTTAACCAGAATATTCAAAGGACTGGCTTTCAGTCTGCGTAGGCTTTGTGGGAAATGGGACGGACAATTCCTCCACCAATGATCTGCTTGGTGGGGTGTATGATGCCCACTTCATGGTGGAGACGGTAATTATTCCCTACATGGTATGCGCATTTCTGTTGGTCTACAGACGCCTTTTGTTCGAAGGCGTGCGTTCGCTAGTTGTGGTGCCGCATGTCTCTCTTTGCGCGGAAAAAGTCCAGCACCTGCGCCAACTGCTGGGCCCGTTGACGCTGCGCATCGAAGCCTTCCACGCGGGAGCCAGTAAGCTCAAGGACTGCGGGCAGAGCACGGCTCGATGCACGGGGAACACACAAAAAGGTTGGGAAGGCGTTTGCAGTAGGAACCTAAGCTACGCGCCATCCTACTCACCCGTTGACGTCAGCGTGCCCTTCTGCTAGCAAATGAAAGAGGTATGAAACAGTGAGTGTAGACCAGGTTTCCCTCAGGGACCCCGCTGTTGTTGTCCTGTGTTGTGGAGTTAATAGATGCAGCGTCGAACTGGTACGCTGGAATAGATGTGGCGGTCTGCACACTGGAGAAGGCAAATATGATTATCAACAGGTGCGGCTTTGTGGCTGCCGGCCTCCTAAACGACGCCACTTGGAGCGTTGACTTCCTTATACACGACTTCGATCCTTTGCAACCTTACAGTGTTTGGGTGAAGGATTTGACTGCCGCTGTGACGCGAATCGTCCTGGGCAACTGCCTAAGTGCTAACAGTTCAGCTGAAAACATTTTTGAGCTCTTGTTGCAGATTAGTGCTGGATTTGCTGGTCCCCGAGGCCGCAACGGCAGAGGACGCAGAAGCGATTCCGGAGCCGCCTATTAAATGTGAGCTGCCTGAGAATGGCTGTGATCTCGGCACTTTGGATGAGAGTTATTCCTGGGCAAGCGAGTGGTGGGACAGCGTGTGTCGCCGCATGCCTGCCGTTGGGGAGCACTTCCCCGTAGGCCTGGTTTGTGTCGACGAACTTCATTTCGTTGGAGATCCCCAGAGGGGCCATCTACTCGAGATGCTACTGGCGAAGCTGCTGTTTCTAAATCGTTCCCTCAAACGGCCTATTCAACTAGTTGGCATGTCCGCCACCCTCCCAAATGCTCCTCAAGTACGCCTCTACTTCCCTCCGTTGGTGCGCTGCAAGCTGCTTCCACAATCTTGAAACAGCAGCAGCTGTACATGTTGTGCCCTACCGGCTCACGTTTCTCGCGGCCTCCTGCTATGATCAGGTTGCAAAATGGCTTGATGCAGAGTTGTTCGTCACGGAGGAGCGTCCCTCCCCCCTCGACATATTTGTCAAGGTTGGTCCAGAGGTGAGCCATTCACGCGCTGTTGTCACTAGTACCTCACCGAATGGCACAGCGGCAGCCTGTCAAACGACCTATATGTGTTCCTAGGTGCGTCCGCGTGCGAGTAGGCAATGTATGTATGCTCCTATTCATGCACTAACATACTCTTGCGTGTACTTATGTAGTGCAGGAGGTAGCTGAGGACGCCAGACATACACAATATTACTGAGGTCTTCGAAAACGTTGCTTAAATTATCTATGCATATCTATCTACTTGTGCTGTATAGCCACAACAGAATACGCTGGAAGTATGTAGCAGAGACATTCTTGACTGTCCCGTGTGCGTCTTACGCTCTCGTCTTTTGCCTGCTGCTTTTTGTAGGTGTTTTCGTGGGACAAAGCTGCAGGATTGCAACTCAGCCGTAAACTCCATGACGGATCTCTTTCTCTGCCCCCAGTTGGGGAGGCGGCAACAAACGCTGCAGCAAGGGCAGTACGCTTGGCTGCTTCTCAGTACGCCGCTGTCGCAACTGGACCATTACTGGCCACTGCACAGGTCACAGCCAACGCGAATATGGCCGCAGATCACGCTTCAATTGCTGCTGGAGCTCTGCGTTTTATAAGAGAGCAAGCTGATGCCTCCGCCCAGACGCCCTCCCTTACACGGGACGGGGTTGGGGCTGAGTCGGCCGGAGAGCCAAAAGGAGCAGTCACAGAAGGAATTCGCTGTGGGTGGCAGACGGATGCTGAGCACTTGGGGATGCTAACATGGGAAATGTTGCGCGAAGGCCGCAGAGTCATAATCTTCTGCCCGACTCAGGAGTGGACAGCCCGCACAGCATCATTCCTCGCCAAGTGAGAGGGTGCCGCCCTTCACGGAGTTGCGTCTGCGTATAATCTGACTGATGAAAATACGTTGTGGCACTGTTCAAGGTCTGGCCTTCCTTTTGATCACTTGAGCATTAGTAAACAGTTCGAGACGAGCATGATTGTCTATGATTACGTGCAGAGTTCTGCCGTTCTACAGACGAGCGGAGGCATGGGCTGATCTGGTTAGGCAACGTGCTGCCTTGTGTCTCAAGAAGAAAACGTTGGAGTGCGCGGGCTCACCACTGCTGCATCGTCAGGCCCCAAAAGGCGCTTCCGATGTGCAGCAGGATCGCGTGAACTGCTTATTGCAACAGCAGAAGCAGGCACAGCGGGAAGCAATGAAGGAGCTTCTTGCCATGCCCGTCAGTATGCTTGCCCAGTTGCTGGTACGAAGTCCTCACCTGTTTGTTGAACCGCAGAATATCAGAGGACGCGAAGAGCTCCAGTGGCAGCTCAAGGAGCTTTCCCTTATTAATTCGGAAACTATGCTGGCGGCAGTTCGTGAGGGGGTTGCGTATCATCACGCCGGTGAGTTTGTTTTGCCACCTGTTGCCGTGTTAAAGCAGAAGCGAATCTGCCTCGCTATTTAAGCTCCTGAAATCTACCCATGTGCTTCGTGCTCCCTGTAGTCCTCTCGCTTCACGATTGTGTGAGTCATGAGTTCTTTCGGGCTTTTAGGCGTTTTGATATGTGCAAGCGGCCGTCTGTTGCTAGTGCAAACTTTCCTATATTAGGCTTGACGGGAGAGGAGAGGGCGTTGTTGGAGGCGGGATATCGCAGAGGCCACTTGAATGTACTGTGCGCGACTTCGACGCTTGCCCTGGGCGTCAACTTGCCTGCTGCTCGCGTCATAATCCGGGCTCCGCACGTATGTCAAGAAAATTCGTCCCTGAATCCTTAACAATTGCCTGGATTCGAGGCACGAGCACGGATTCATTCCTCAAGTTGCATCTCCACGACATCGCCGGAAACGCCTTGTTTCTGCACGCGTTAGCACTTCTGCAGACTGCCTTTGGCCCCCTCTACTCCGGATGCCGCCTCCTCATGTGGCTGTGTGGTTTCTTGAATTTCAGTTCGGACGAGATGAGCTTCTGTCTCCAGGCCGTTTTCACCAGATGGCCGGGCGCGCGGGCCGAAAGGGGCTTGAACACCGGTAAGGCCCAAACGAATGGACGGGAATGCACTGCACTAGCACACTGCGACGGATCCATCACCTAAGAACCAGCTTTCGTTTGGGCAGCACATATCTTGGCTAGCAGAACACAACTCTGAACTTTATGCTGACTCCCTCGTTGCGCCGGCTGAACAAGGGCCAGCCGTCGAACAAGCAAGGGTATTGTAAGACAGGCAGTAACAGACGACGGGATACTACGAAGTCAAAAGGGCACCGCGGGTATGTCAAGCCGTTGTTGGTTGGCTTCGAACACAACTGACATACATAGTACCGTTTCTCCTTCGCAGGGGAGACGCGTACTTGATTTGCTCCCCTGCCAATTTGCCGCATGTTCGGAATCTCCTTATGGCCGTCGCTGCTGCGGATCCATCTGGTAGTGGAGGCTCTCACTCTAGTCCAGGCGATACGGAAACGAGCTCACACCTGAGGGGGCAGCATCTCTGTCGTTTCTTCCTTGAGGCTGTGCACGTGCTTCTACCTCTACTCCGTAACTCGAGGGAGACCTCTTGTCGGTTACGAAGCTCTGCATTCGTCGATGTGGTTGCTATTATGCTATATTGCACCCTTCGAGGCCGCCAGGTACAATGGGGGGCGCTTGATACGAAACTAGAGGAAGCTGTTTAAGGCGGTGCTTGTAAGAGTTGTATGCAGAAATATCCACCCATGTAATTCCATGCTGCTGTCCGTTCCTGCAGGATCCGCACAGGATGATTGTGGAAGAAGCTGCAGAGGCTGCCCGCTACCTGCACGCATATTACCTGATTGAAGCTGAGCCCAGTGACACGTCGCCTACCTTGCAGAGCGACGGACAGACTCTTGCCAATGGCTCCTCTGGCTCCTCCGCATTTTCACAAGGTCCAGCACTCGGTGTTGCTGCTGGGGTGACGACAAGGTCCAAATTGGCCAGCGGGTCAGGGCAGTCCATCAGTGCTGTGACGGTCGCCCCTGGCGAACGCAAGCACATACTGCGCTCTCTTGCCTTCCCTTCCTCGTGCTTGCCAGCTACCTGCAAGTTGTTGCTGCAGCAATACCCATGTCTCCGTTCGCCTGTAGTCCTGGCTCGGCTGCTGCAACGATGCGATGTCAGCAAGATACCCACTGAAAGACTTCCTGGTGCGTCGAACGCTCCTCGGCAGCTCGATGAGGCTTCCGACAGCGCCACAGCAGTTTACGGGGTCCCGCCTCAGCGACGTCCCTACTGAAAGTTGTGAGTACTGGCCCTGCTTATCAGACACCGTGTGCCCCTGCAGACGACGCATTTGGATCGAGCGTCTGCCTTCATTTCCGCGGTCTTAAGGAGTTAGCTGCCCAATTGAGCTCGGGTGGGGACCCAGTCGCTGGCTTGAAGATGAATGAACCCGATGGGAAGGGAATGAACTGGAGAGATATAGGGGGCAGACTTGCAGTAACAGAGGTCGGAGGCGCGGCAGTCGAGGCCGGAATCACTCCATGGGAAGCAGCTGAAATATTTGCTGACGTTTTCAAGACGAGTGTTCTGGGTTAGAGTCGCCATACCCTCTTGAACTGGAAACCATACGACCCCGCAGCAAGACGGACATTTGCAGCTCTGCTTAGAAGAGCCTGTTCTCAGCAAGAAGGAAGACGATATCATTCTCTCTGGCTGTTTGTGGACCTCAGGTCTCTGTGCGGACATGGAGCTCCACCTTATCTTTCTTGCGGCCGTCGCAGTTGGTGGCGAAATGCAGCCACACTGGCAGTCGTATCTCTCCATCTACGACAAGCTCGACCCAGCTTGCAGGTGTGTTTGTGCCTCGTTGTTTTCAAAGTTATTGCAACTTCTGCACATTGGAACCGCCCTTCCTTCTGAGCGTCGTGAGGCTCTCTCTAGGGTAGTACATGACGGACGCTTCAGGCGAAATGCTGTGTTTAGGCGGGTTGCCGACGCGTTGGGGATCAGGAGGCTGGTCATTTCCAGAGAGGCCATAAAGGCACAAGGCGCACCTCGCCGATGCATCAACGACACTGCGGACCTGTTGCTTTTTGACCAGTCAGTTTCTTTTCTCCCCTGACACCTGCCTGGGGGCGGTCATTCTACTTGGCTTTTGAGACTCTCCCCACAGTAACTGACAGTCTTGCGGTTGGAACTGCATTGCCTTGAATTGTTCTCAGCCTTACGTTTACCCAGCTGCAAGCGCGCGTAGAGCTAGAAACCCACCGTCGCTTTTTCTTTGCCCTTCTGCTGCACGACGTGTATCGAGAAGGTGAAGCTTACGAGACTGCCATGCGCAGGTGAGAGAGTCAAGACAGGCTACAGATTGTAAGACGGCGCCATAGCCTGCCACCAGGTTAGCTTTTAGGTAAATAGGCGACGCAACATAAGTTCATGTCGGAGCTGCAATATGCGGTTTCCCAGGTTCGGTATCTCGCGAAGTACACTGATGGCTTGCGCAACACAGGGAGCGCTCATCGCGGCCACCGTCGCCTCGTTCTTGCGCGTCCTTCGCCCCCAAGAGTGCGTAATAGCGGTGTTTGCGGGTAGTGCAGAACAGCTCGTGCTTGACAAGTTGTCGCTAGCACACAGCTACTTTCCAAGAACTTCGTTCGAAGCTCTACACATCGAACGTAAAAATTGCCATGCGGTTTCGGTGGTCTGATTCACAGGGCGGCGTTATCCGAAGTTTGCTTTGTGCTGGCAGGGAAGCTTAAGCTTACCTGTTCGCCTGTTGGGGCGCTAGCTTCCGCCTTGACAGACTCTTCCCGTCGGTGCAAAGATAACCACGAAGCTACGAATAGTGAAGAGGGGAGCCCATCTGCTCTCCAGCAGCTCCTGCAGCTAGAAGGCATGACTCCGGGGCGTGCAGCCGCTCTTCGCGCCGCGCATATATACACCTGTGCCCATATTGCCAACACGCCGCTGTATGATCTATACAAGGTCTGCAATGCTGCCTACCCAACTCAAAAATAGGCATACACTTTGAAATATTTTAATGGCAAATAGAGCATTGTTGGGCATGTATGTCCTTTTCAGGCATTAGAAGCAGCTGAACCCGCTGACCTCGCCCCAGCAGAGCTTGTAGCGCAAGGGGACCAGGTTTCGGGGTCAAAGATTCGCCGACAGCGCGCACGCTTGTTTGCTGTCAGCGTGAAACTCAAGGACTCAGCGCAAAAAGAACAAGAGATGCGGTTGCAGGTATGCGTATCACATTATTATGGTCCATGCACTGATATTCAAGGTGAAGTGTGCTGAACACTACACGCAGGATCGCCTTGTTACTATTTCCTGCTTCCGTAGGCGTTGGAGGATGAAGCAGCGGGGCACTGGTCGTTGGTCGGGAAAGTCACCGACAACTCGGGAGACGAAGGTGACTCAGTAACAGTCAGCATCCATAGCTGAGAGCGACCGTCAAAGCGCGCATTTCGATAGGATATACAGGGAGTAAGCAGTCCCGCACATTTTTTGGGACTGAAGTCGCTGCGTGCTCGTTACAAACTGTTAAAGACTTCGACATATTTGTTGAGCGGTAATGGACTACCCCACGAGTCCACAGGGAAATAATTTTAAAGGTCGAATGGATGCTGCGCCGCGTACTTCGTCCCGTGCAGCTGTTATCGATTCGTCGCGTAGAACGAAACGTGCCAGACGTATCCAGCATCCTGACACATGTGAGTGCATCAATGGACAGGAAAGCTGGAAACACATACTGCATGGGGTTTCGGAATGGTCTAGAAGGCTAGAATATGACAGGGCGGGCTGACGCCTGTGCTCTGCTGGCTGGTGGAGTCGTAGACGTGGATGCCCCTCAACGAATGGAATCCTGCGACCGCGCAGCAAACGCCAACGAACCAGTTTAAACTGCGTGCTCAGCAGCAGTCTCTGTATTCAGGGGAGAAGCAGGCGTGAGAAGCAAACGAACACTCGGCAGCACACCTGGTTGTAGGCAGAGCAATTCAAAGGAGAATTTCTTTGAAGACCTGGGGCCGACGGGCCCAAGAGTCTGCGCGGAGCAGCAGAAGAGCAAGGACACGTCAAATCAACGAAACCGTGCAAGGTGCAATCAGCAATGCTTCGGAGCTGTGTGTTCCGTTACCAGCTGCCTTGGTCCTTCTAAAACAAAAGGCTCGAGTTCCGAAAGTTCGACGGAGAGCATGAGTTGCAAATCCGTCTGCAGCCTGTTGATGACCTCCAACTCCACAGTAAACGGACGATCGACCTGCAGCATAGCAAACGAACGTGAAAATGTCCATGAATTGGCATCCACGCACGTAGGACCTGCCTAGCTGCTAGGGCCGTTATTTGTCCTATCAACATACCTCGACTGAAGGTGGGAATGACGCTAGCCGCATTTCAAGTGGTTGCATGGGTTCCGGCGCATTCATCAGCTCATAGTCACTTAATGTCCCAACCCCTCCCGTTGATGTGCGCCACTGCAGTGTTAGCGTCCCCAGATTTGGAATTTGCTGCGGCAGAACGGATGCAAAGGGCTCCGCTCGAAGCACTTGAGGAAAAATATTGTGTGCTTCATGGCCACGTTTGGTAATTGCCACCAGGGTCTGCCACAGATGCGCTGGCTGCCCACGCTTGCCTTTGGCAGGTTTTCTAGAAGTGACTGGGAACTTGCAGGATAGAGCGAGAAGAGCACGGCGTAGCAATCTTTGGGCCGAAAATTGTGAATTCCTTTGCAGAAGCTGCAAGCATAGAAAAAAGTGCAGTCTGAAATTCACAAACATTTGGTCAAACGAGAAGCCGCTACTACGGCATCTTTACATGGGCCGAAAAATCAGTTCTCTGAGAAACCTGCATCATCCGCAGTGCCCAAAACTGCAGTGGCCACGAGAATGGCCTGCTGGCGCATTCACTCACGATTCGGCCGCAGGCGAAGCGCATCCTAGGCGGGTGCATTCTAAACCCTCGGCGCAGAGTATAGAAGCATCGTTCAGGAATACAGCCTGCTGAGATACGTTGGTAAGCGTGCACTCAACAAGAGCTCTGTCCTGTAGACGTGCACAAGAGTGAAAACGCGATACATAGGCACGTTGCGGATCCACGCTTTCCCAGTTGTGAGGTGTGCTTTGAAACGAACTGCCTAACACGACGGACCGTACCTGCAGATGCGTAATGCGGTGCGAAACATTAAATGGACTTTGGGCGGTAAATCTGAACGACTTCTTGAATGATTTGGGTTCCGACGATGGAGCAATGTAGTGCGAGATGGAGCAGACGAGCCTATGCCGCGCCCATGTGCAAAACCCGCATGCTCAGAAGCGGCCTGTTCAACAACGACTGCCCAGGGATTCCAAAATAAGGGAGGATTAGCTTACATGCAAGTCCCTGACTCCTCTATCTGGTGCTGAATCGTGCAGTCGAATGAATCTTCAGGATTCAAGATCCGAACAGGATCCTCCGCATTGTCGAATAGTAAATGACGTGAATTCCCCAAGAAAAGTTCAACCTGCCCAAAGAAACATCGTGAATACAACGTGTGACTTACGATGCTTGCTACACATTGGAGGGGGGTCAAGAAATATCGGCGTACGACGTACTTGCAGCTTCACATTGTTTGCCTGAGTAGTGGATGCATTTGCAATGTTCAGGTAGGCCGAAAATACTTCTCCACTGAATACTCGCCTGGTTTGCAAACACAGAGGCACACACATAGAAGTTCCTTCTGGTGTGGAGCGTCGGCATGCTCTTTGCTGAGTGGGGCAGGTACCACGTAGCCGCAGTCTCAATGCCTCACCCCTGCGTTACGGGTAGGAGAAGTGCGTGCGCACTTGACAGCCACTTTTCGTTCACCGTCTCCTCTTCTCTAGCTAAGGCGGCGTTGGTATCGTCACGTGCTAGATCCCTCAGAGAAATCAGCGGCCACGGATTAGAATCCCAAGACGGCTGCGATAGCCGCATGACTTTCTGCAAGACACGCGCTCAAGTCATTGAAATGGTCACAGTATCTTCTCACGACGAGAAATAGTGGTCGACAATCCTACAGAAGTCCCGCTGTTGTTGCTTACTAGAGAAAGATATTCTCTATCACCGGCTGCCATGTTCAAGCCCGCCCCAGGCTGTCCGCCTTGTCTGAGACCCTTTGTTTAGTACACAGACCACTGATGTTGCGTTGGTAAATTGTCGACCGGTTTTTTGAGTCACCGTACGAGCATCTTGCCCACGCGTTTGAGCCCCGCCGACGAGGCAAGACAGACTTTACGTCGACACGTAACGCCCCCAGATGCACGAAGGCCGTAACATCAAGTTTCAGTTCCACTACTATTTATGGTAATAAGCCGGCTTGCCGTTGTGCTGAAGACTAGAAGGCCCAAATCCGTACTGCACCGTATATCAATTAGCTACTGTGCGCATGCCAAGCCACTGGGACGCTCATCATGCGCGATCATGAATTTTTCGACACGAACGCACACCAAAGCAACTAACTAGTTGGAAAATTTCGTAGTGGACAGATTTAAGGAATACAATCTGTTTTCAAATTCATCGTCCCACATCTTGGAAAACTTCATGAATTATCGCACTCTTGTTATGGTAACCGATCGCGTCAACCGGCTTGTACCGGTATTCTGCATTCCGTGCATTTCGTGGCGTCAACAAAAATGGTGCATAATTAAACCTTAGGAATATTTAGTACGTTTATACGTTAAGCAACTCATTATCGCTTGTAACTATTCCTTAAACGCCTCAAAATGATAGCACGGGTACGCGTACAGCAAAAAATGCGATTCAGACACCTAGCGTAGAAGAGCCTTGGGCTACCCCGTGGTGTACAGACACTTCATGCAGTGACTACCAGCCACTTGCCAATGGGTGCGCCAGAGTTTTCCAGAGTTCACCACCCTGGACTCGATTGAACAATACTTCCCCTCTTCAGCTCCGTTCTTCCTGCCAAGATGAGGAACGCAGCAAGTGTTGGTCTTTGCGTTGGACTCTCTGCGATTGGAGCCCTGGCCAATGATGTTCTTAAGCCAGAGGCAGATTATCGAGACTTCCGCCACTACCAGCTTAGCAATGGCATGCACGCCATAGCTGTGCACCACCCACGATCTAATGAGGCAGGCTTTGCCGTGGCGGCGAATACCGGCAGTTTGTACGATCCTGAAGATGTACCTGGCCTGGCCCACTTCCTGGAACACATGCTGTTCCTGGGGACGTCTAAATATCCGGAGCCAGAGAGCTACGACAGCTTCCTGACCCAAAACGGAGGGGCGAACAATGCATACACAGACGAGGAAAAAACGGTCTTTTTCAACAAGGTCACGGATAGTGCTTTCGAAGAGGCTTTGGACCGTTTTGCCGAGTTCTTCAAATCGCCACTCTTCAACCGCAAATACGAAGAAAAAGAGGTCAATGCGATTGACGCGGAGCATCAGAAAAACATTCCGAATGACGACGAGAGAGCGTGGTACACGATCCGCTCTCTGGCGAAGGGACCAATGTCCCGATTCGCTACTGGCAACTCGGAAACCCTGAGTGCCAACCCTAAAGCCAAGGGGATCGACCTGGTTGACCGCCTGAGGGATTTTCACAGCATGTACTACTGTGGATCAAACATGGTAAGTATACCGTAGTACTTCATACATTTTTGCGTGCAGAAAACATTCTGCCATGCATCAGGTTGCTGTCACTATTTCGCCGCGTTCTCTTGATGAACAAGAGTCGCTGATAAGGGAAAAACTTGAAGGTAACACATTTTTGAACTGAATGCTGAGGCCATTCCCATTGTGTTTCTAGATATATCGGCGGGGCATGCTGATTGGCTGGGAATGGTCCAATGCCCTGGACCCATGTTCGACACTGTCAAGCCTTTCGACCACACCAACAGTGGAAAATTCATCCACATGCAGAGCTTCTCGTCACAGCCTAGTCTTTGGGTTGCCTTCGGCCTTCCAGCAACCCTCACTTCTTATGTAAGCTGAACATCTTGGCATTCTGTTCCGCCCAGTGAAGCATTCACGTACTTCAGAAAAAGCAACCAACGAGCGTCCTGACGTATCTGCTTGAATACACTGGAGAGGGATCTTTGGCAAAGCGCCTTCGGCTTCTTGGGCTTGCCGACGGAATCTCCCCTGCCGTTGATAGGAATTCCATAAGCACTCTGCTTGGCATAAAGGGTAAGGAACGTTAAACAGCGAATTCCGATCAAGATAAATACATCCTGGGGCAGTCGATCTGACCCAGAAGGGCGCGGCCCATCGCGGACTTGTACTGCAGGAGATATTTTCGTATATCAACTTCCTGAGAGACCACGGTGTTGGCCATGACTTGGTTTCCACTATGGCCCAACAGTCGCATATCGACTTCCACACAACGCAACCCAGCTCATCGATAATGGATGAAGCAGCGCGTCTTGCTCACAATCTGTTAACATACGAGCCATACCATGTCGTTGCTGGGGATTCGCTGTTGATTGATGCAGACCCTCGATTAACGAATCAGCTCCTTCAAGAAATGTCCCCATCCAAAGCTATCATTGCCTTCTCCGACCCCGATTTTACTTCGAAAGTGGACAGCTTCGAAACGGATCCCTACTACGGGGTGCAATTCAGAGTTCTCGACCTGCCGCAGCATCATGCAGTGGCAATGACCGTCTTAACTGCCTCGCCAAACGCTTTCCGCATGCCGCCTCCTCTGATGCACATTCCCAAGGCCTCTGAGTTGAAGATCCTCCCCGGTCTTCTGGGACTCACAGAGCCGGAACTCATTAGCGAGCAAGGAGGCAACGCAGGAACTGCTGTATGGTGGCAGGGACAAGGCGCCTTTGCCCTCCCCAGGATCGCTGTCCAGCTAAACGGAAGCGTTTCAAAAGACAAGGCAGACTTGCTCTCTCGCACTCAAGGTTCCCTAGCGCTTGCTGCCATTGCAGAGCATCTACAAGAGGAGACTGTGGATTTCCAGAACTGCGGCATCACCCACAGTTTGGCTTTCAAAGGCACCGGTTTCCACATGACGTTCGAAGGCTATACACAAGCGCAGCTGGGCAAGCTCATGACACATGTGGCGAATCTTCTCAGCGATCCCTCAATGGTCGAACCTGAGCGCTTCGAGAGGTGAGGCAAAATTGGGCTATCTTATGAAAACCTCCAGAGTTTAATGTGGCGATTTCAGGATAAAAGAGAAACAGATGAAGCTTCTCGCTGATCCAGCAACCAGCATGGCATTTGAACACGCCCTCGAAGCTGCAGCGATTCTAACACGGAATGATGCGTTTAGTCGGAAGGATTTGCTCGAGGCGCTTCAACAGACAAATTACGATGATTCCATCGCCAAGTTGAGCGAGCTCAAGAATGTCAGTAGAGTGTTGAATGCTACCAATTTTTTTCACGTTTCAACCACTTTTATCCTCAGGTCCACGTTGATGCATTTGTCATGGGGAACATAGACCGCGACCAATCGCTCACTATGGTCGAAGACTTCCTGGAGCAGGCGGGATTCGTTCCTATTGATCATGACGATGCCGCGGCATCTCTTGCAATGGAGCAGAAACAGACCATTGAGGCAACCTTGGCGAACCCTATCAAGGGCGACAAAGACCACGCCAGCTTGATCCAGTTCCAGCTTGGTATTCCCTCCATTGAAGACCGCGTGAACCTCGCCGTGCTAACTCAGTTCCTCAACCGCCGCATATACGACTCACTCCGCACGGAAGCTCAGTTGGGATATATTGCTGGAGCAAAGGAGTCTCAAGCAGCCTCAACAGCTCTCCTTCAGTGTTTTGTCGAGGGCGCCAAGACACACCCTGATGAAGTTGTGAAGATGATTGACGAAGAGTTGTCAAAGGCGAAAGAATACCTTGCTAACATGCCTGATGCTGAGATGGCTCGTTGGAAGGAGGCAGCTCATGCAAAACTCACAAAGATGGAGGCGAACTTCTCCGAAGACTTCAAGAAATCGGCTGAGGAGATTTTCTCTCACTCAAACTGCTTCACAAAAAGAAGTCTGGAGGTCAAGTACCTCGACAACGACTTCTCTCGCAAGCAAGTTCTCCGCACTTTCGCGAAGCTGTCTGACCCTTCAAGGAGAATGGTGAGCAAATTTATTCCACTAGACGATGTTTCATGTACTAAATCGGATAATTCAGGTTGTCAAGCTGGTTGCCGATCTGGAGCCCGAGAAGGAGGTCACCCTTATAGGCGAAGCAAAAGCTCAAGATGCACCCCTTCTTCGCCGTGGTGATACCGGTGAGAGTAGATTTGGGCATCATTCTCTTGAACATTATCATAAGGTTTCTGCTGCAGCTGAAGAGGTTGCCAAGGCCCCAACGAAGCTCCTGAGTCTCGAGGACAAGTTTGTCTCGCAAGTTCAGGAAGCCAACGGCTACTTCCCAGATGTCTCGGTGTGCGAGCTACCCCCAAGCCTTCTCTCGTTATTCGAACTCTTGGAGGACCTTTGAGCTAAATGATTACACTGCAACTCACGAAACAGCTAATCAGCCACCCCCTACCTTTCCACTTCATGGAAAACACGTTTTGTAACAGTTAATCGGTTTTTGGAAAACACTACGGCCTCGTTAGAAAGTCTTCAAGGAAAGTATATATGCATTTCGATCGACGAAAGAGAGCATTAGGCAACAATTTAGGATGAACTATCGTGTAGCATTTTATTAGCTATGCATAAGAAAGCAGTCGCGGGAAAAGGTATCCCTAGCGAGACTTAGTTCGTCACTGAAGCATGTCTAACCAGGGCTTCCCCTCAACTTGGCCAAAGAGAATTTCCGCATCTGAGTAATCAATTTGCTTACGCCATGATGCAAAATTGGTGAAGACGATCGGGAAATTCTGACTTTCCAGCAGCTGACGAATTTTCGAAATGCCGTTTATGAATCCGTTGACTACCCAGCATGTGTGCTCCAATGTAGCGGTCGAACAATTATCTTTGGCACTTCGCAACCACTCTACAACCCTCGGGAATAGTTCGTAAAATACAATTGGAGAGACCGTCAACAGCCCAGCACATATCCCTAGCCTGAAGGCAAGCATCACACTTCCGAAAAAGGCAACCTACAATCGGCGCATTTCTAACTGGCTAGATACTAATTTCGCGAAACGAGAGACAAAATCGGAACCTTTCCTTTGAGATTGGCAGTTCCTTCCTTTTGAACGCATTTTATCGCTTAGGCGTTCCCTAAACTTTAAACCTGATTTTTGGTGGCGTTCAAACTCTCCGCTGTGGTAGTTTGAACAATTGTGCTAATGCCGATTTGATGAGCGTGCATGAGTTTTGCCAAAGTTTCAGGGTGATAGCTATAGAAAAGCACTGCACGAATCCTGCTAAGAGCCTCACCCGATTGGATACTGCAACGGAGGATTGAATGTGGGGAGCCTTCCCGCCAACGAGAAGGCTTGAAAGTGCATTTTCCCCTTACGCTCATAGCGTAATCTAGAGGCAGAATTTCCATCGGTCTTTTCTAATATGTCACGAGGAGCATGCAATTCAACTTGAGGGAAAGTGAGAGCAAAACAGCATAGGCTTCCGTAACATTCTTCTGCCCCGTCAGCTGTGGCTCGAAAGTATGGGTTAGAGGTAAGCGCGAGGCCGTTGCACCACAGGATGTCAGGGAGAAGTATCGGGGGAAAGCTTATTCGGAAAATGACGTGAGATACCACAGCTGATGCGCTGCCAGCCGACGATACTCCGTTTACGTTACAGTGCCGTGTGTCATCGCAACCTGCAGTGCGGCACACGGTGCTCTGCAGAACCTTAATGCAAAGCTGTGCCTTCCCGGTAGCTGTTGTTCCGAAGAGCTCAATGCCAGACCGTAGGGGAGGTCCCGTAACGAAACATTCAATGTAGCTTTGAATTAACTGGAGTTCTAAAAGTTTCTGGAATTCAGCATATGCAGCCTCAGTCTTCGCCACGATGTTGAGGCCAATCCAAGAGTCTTCAAGGTGAAATATCACTCCGAAGTTGTGCTGGCGCGAAGAAAGCAATGGAAAGTACTCTTCAGGATGCTGGCGTTGGATGAAAGCAGAAAGTGTTTCAGCGGAAACGGGCTTATACGCGTTATGTACACTGTCTCCTGACCTCCCCCCCATTGTGCATGGCAAGTTGCAAGGCGGTTTCTTCACCACCCAGTAGGCTTTCTGCTCGTCAACCACCGCTGGTCTCTCGCATGTTTTGGAGAAGGAAAGGCCATGCGGAAGTCCAATATGCACATTGTCGCTACAGATTCTGTATGGGTCTCTTGGAATATTGGCATGCGAACCAATCGTCCCCTGAGTTTTATTTGCAAGCGGCGTAGCAAACTCGCTTCGAGGCATGTATCCTTGCCTTCCCGTTTTTGCTTCTGCAGTTCCTCTAACTTGATCTACTAATGTACTTTCGGGCAGCTCCCTGCACGAGGTAGGCATTTTGTTCTACCTTGGGGAGCCAGTGTACTCGGGCTTTGAGAGGAGAAGCTCGTTACCACCACCAAGGCCTGATAGGGCCAGCAATGAGTTTGCGGGTTTAATTTCTGGTAGCACTGGATTTATAGCGGAGGATGTTTTGATATTGATCATTCTATTGTCCAGACAGAATAGAGGTAACTATGCATTTCGTCGGTGTTTTCGTGTCGAGCGTTTTGAACACCAGAGTGACCCAGCTCTGTCGAAGCAGCTTCCAGGGTCACTTGGGTGGGAAGAGACGTTCTCTTTGCCCGCAAAACGTCAGCCTATTGTTCGGGATGTTATACAGCCAAGTTTTGGAGCGAAAATAATGGTTGAACACAGTTTTGTGTTGAGCAATAAAAGGGAGCCTGAGGTGATGCAAAGTACAGCATGCACGACTAAGCAAAACTGCGAGCACCATGGCGTGAAGCGGACAGCTACGAAAACTCATCTGTCAGTGCTAGCAGGAACAGATACTGTGATGATCGCAGTTCATGTCCTTTAGTCGGCAAATGCGTGGCATTTTTTTGCACTTGTGCCAATTGTGGTCCATCTATTGAAAGCCCTAGTTTACTTCCATATAATAGCCAAGCAAGAGCAGCTTTGTATCAATTTTTTTGACGGTCCCCCATTATGCAATCCGAGTGCCATGCATGCTCTCTAGACTGCTGGTGGCCATTCCGCGATGTCCGTACACCGGAAGTGTCGATCTGTCAGTCATCTGCCGATGCATTTTCATTTTGCTTGCTAGCCATAATTTCTCACCTTGGCTTACCTCATATTACTGAACCCATAAATAGCCAGGTACAATGCGTTCCCTTCTGGTCGTAGCCGGCCTAGCTGGTTGCAGTTCTTTCGCTCCAACCGATGCAAGACATCGGTTTCTGAGTGAAACATTGGAAGAACCTGAAGATGTAATGCTGAAGACAGCAGATCTTCACACAAATCTGTTACGTGAACCTCCCATGACGATCAAGCTAGACAACAGATACAAGTTCACTGGTCTGGGCGAGCTGGTTTCACAGCTGATCGACCATCACACCACCATGGGAAGTGTTGGTTCCTCTGGAACCATGGCCCGACAAAAGCTACTCAATTACCACAACAGCCAGTATTTTGGCGAAATAAAGATCGGAACCCCTGGCAGAAGATTCGTTGTTGTAAGCGATCAGTTCAATTGCACAGGAACCTAACGTTTATGGACTGGCTTCAATTTCAGGTTTTTGATACTGGTTCCTCAAACCTTTGGGTTCCCGCAGCGGAATGCGAGAAGTAAGTTTTGTTTCCCCAATTCAATGAGATCTAGCCTTTCTTTAAAAACGTTTGCAGAGGAGGATGCGCACCACATGAAAAATTCGACCCAAAGTATTCTAGCACGTTTTCCCCCATACGTTCGCTGACCGGAGACCCAGCAGTCGCATTCATTCAAGTATGTTTCACACTCCCGTAGATATCAACGAACGCTTCTCAATGGCTTTTTCAGTACGGAACGGGTGCATGTGTTCTCCGAATGGGTCGGGACATCGTGGAAATCGGCGGCATGTAAGAAAACAGTCATTTTATTCGCAGTGAAGCGCCTCTATTCTGTTCTTCAGCAAAGTCCCCAACCAGGCAATTGGCTTGGCTGTCGAGGGTACGCTCTCAAGGCTCCACGGCTCCTTTAAACCGGAGATATATATCTCCTTGCTTCAGAGTCGACTCATCCATTCGCGGATCTGCCTTTTGACGGGCTCGTCGGCTTGGGATTCCCTGACGTGTCAGGGGAAGAGGGACTTCCCTCAAGCGCGCTCCCCATTGTTGATCAAATGGTCAAAGAGGTGTGTTACTGCTGGCATAACTCGAAAAGTCTTCTGTCGCAACTCTCGTTCAGAAAGTCTTGGACCGGAATGTGTTTTCCGTCTACATGAGCGAAGACATCAATCGGTACGACGGCGAAATACAACTCAACATATTGTCAGCGGAGTACTGAATCAATTTTTAGCCCAGGAGAAATTTCGGTAAAAAGCCTCCCGTGTACCCTCTGAATAACAGCTGCATTTCTGTCTTAGTTCGGAGCAGCGGACCCGAAGTATACTTTTGCCGGACACGCACCAAAGTGGTTCCCCGTCATCTCCCTAGGTATGCTGGCAACTCTGTACTGTTTCACAATTCCATTCTCATTAAGCTACTCCCTTCAGACTACTGGTATGCATGTGCCTAAAGTGAAGCTCACGGAAATGTCCAAACACTAGTGCGACCACAGGGAGATTGGCCTCCACGGAATGAAGATAAATGGAAAATCCTTTGGCGTGTGTGAAAAACGTGGATGCCGCGCAGCGGTTGACACTGGGTCCAGTCTGGTAAGTGGCTTTAAAGAGGCGTTAAGCAAAAATGCCTTCAATGCTTGTGCAGATAACAGGACCATCATCTGTCATCAATCCCCTCATCAAAGCCCTTAACGTCGCTGAGAACTGCTCCAACCTTGGAACCCTACCAACTGTAGGCTAGCCATCCCGTTTCCTGCACTTTTCAATAGCTAAATTTTGTTTCCAGCTCACATTTGTTCTTAAAGACATATACGGAAGGCTCGTAAACTTCAGCCTCGAACCTAGGGATTATGTAGTGGAAGAGCTTGATGCCGTAAGTGTACCATCGGATCAGCATACCTCAAGTACTGTCGCCAACTACTTGCGTATCGCACAGAGAGGAAACCCTAACAACTGCGCAGCTGGATTCATGGCTATGGTGAGCTCATATCACACACTAGCGGCTACTGAGCAGTTGGCTTAAACATCTTCTCTCAGGACGTCCCAGCGCCTCGCGGCCCCCTGTTCGTGCTCGGAAACTCTTTCATCAGGAAATACTACAGCATTTTCGACCGTGATCATATGGTAAGCAACGCGCAATTGTTAAAAGCAATAATTGCTCAATAACTGAGTTCTTGCCTTCAGATGGTTGGATTCATGCGGTAAGTATACCACCGATCATCTGCGGCGATTCAAACTTAATGCGTGGACTTGCAACCAATGCTTTAGGGCAAACCACGAAGGTATGTCCGACATAACGAACTCTAAAGTATCGCATCTCCAACATTAATGCACCCGCAGGTTCCGGACCGCTCATCAAGGGATATTCATCATCTGCACCATTGGTGTCGGCATCGTGCCTTGTTGCAGCCAGCGCTGCTGCATTCGCGCTGGCCCTCTTTTGAACGTCTTCCGAACAGTCTGCATGTGTGAAGTTGCGATAAATGCCATCTTAAGCACATTGCGGGCACGTCGTTCAGTCGTCTACTCTCTCGAGTGTTTCACCCTGAGTGTAATTCACAACACAGGCAGTTACTACAAAATGCATAGTTCAGCGAAACAAATGTAAGGAGCACTTATAGTTAGGACAGATACAGATAGGAAAGGGACGTGCTTACATATAAGTTAAACCTTCGCCGCTTTCTCTCCGGCTCGCTGGACAGCTGTTCGAACAAATCATGACTCCATTTTCCATCCGCATTGCTAGCCGCTGCACGCATTCGAATACTAATATATCTATAATTACCGGAGGAGAAAGCACATTTTGTAAACTCGTCTGCGAACAGTCAACGCCAAAACGAAACAACGTACCTGCCGCCGCGTTTCTTCTTTCCTGCTGCACTCCCCGCCCAACAATTCCAGCCTGTTCAGAAACCAAGAATTCAAAAAAAGACAGCTGTGAAACATGGGGGAAACTGGCGCTTAGAGCAATACACCCAGTGAGCGGCCAAAATGCCTTACCATCTTTCGGTTGCGTCCCACACCCGGTTGAAGATGAACAGGTGGCCTTCTAAGGTGGCGTTGGTTCGGCTGAGCTGGATGCTGTTGGAACATCCCGTTGTACACTTGCACATGATGAGACTCGCTTGGAGTCGCGTTTCTAAAACGTTGTTGCGCAGTAATCAGTAGATTCCTATCACCGCGTCTGGGCACCAATCGCACAGATCTTCCCGTGTTAATGGGATACAGAGGTTGCGGGAAATCAAACCGCTCATCTCTCTCCAGCCGGTTCCATGCATTCTGGCCGGGCGGGGGTTGAAATGGTTGAAATCTATTCATGACCGGGAGAAAGCGCTCGCCTCTCTCGCGCGGGAAACGCTGGGCCTGGAACCTTGAGTATCCTCTTGGGGAGGGTTCCCGATACGTTCTATATATATCCGCGCTTTCCAAGGGTGGCAAGGGTTCCGTAGCCACAATTCTACGCTTTACAGTTGTTCTGTCAACTTCCACGTTGCGTCCAATCTCTTCTGAAGGCAGCCTTGCACGCGGGTTCCCTGGTTCATGTGTTGTCCGCAAACAATCTGTGGAGGTTGCTGATGCACTGTTAGCAGAAGAAGCTTCTACAGGTCGTCCATCAAAGCGCACATCATCGTCATGTGCGGGTCCATCGGACTGTCGCCTTTCGTCATGCCTCTGAGTTGGTGAGGAGCGGCTGCTCTGGGCCATAGACGGCGGAGGCTGATCCTCCATTTTGGTTGGTGGTTCGTCTTGATCTTGGATGGGCTCTTCCTCCTGTGAACAGCGCTTCTGAACGCATGCTCCGGTGTCTCCAGAAACCATTTTTGCCTCATGAAACTCCCTACTCTCCCTACTCTTTTCCGGAGCAGGCTGCTCAGTTGGTGGTGCCGCAGGACAGCTAGGCGCACGCTCTTTTCCCTCGTCCCGTTGAACTGCAGGAGCCCTCGTTCGGCTTGACGGGGAGCGTGAAACTGATGGAGATTGTCTGGCCGATGCACGAGCCTCACTCCTACGGCGTGGCGCTTCTGGCGGACCTCCGTCAGCAGACCTTTCCCCTAAGACGTTGTCTTTTGCTCGCTTTGGAGAGGTTTCCTGCCCGGGCGTTCGTTTTTCTTGACGGCCTAAAGATGGTCTCGCTGAACTTGTTCCTTTGCTGTCAACATTATCAGGTCGAGAGGAAACGAGGTCAGGGGTCGGACAGTCTGCAGATCGACAAAGGGACCGACTCCGTGAAGGCATCTCCTGCTGATTAGAGCGCTTGGTGGCCTCAACCACATCCCTCTCCCTTGATATGCTCCCAGACGCTCGATGCAATCGACCATCTGACTGTGACGAGCGCCTCGGAGCCCCATCTATCCTCACTGTGGACTCGTCAGTTGACGGTCGACGTACGGCTTTATCATGGGTCGGCGAACGGCGAGTCAAAGTTTCATCTCTGCCTCTACACCCAACTGGTGACCGTCGGGTCAATGTTCCCTCAGAAACTTGCGAGTGCCGACTCGTATTGGCTACTTGTGCTCCTCTCCCCCCACTTCCTGACCTTCTGCTAGACCTCCTTTCATTGACTGGTGAACGTCGGCTCGTGGTCGCTGCATGCCTTCGTCTGGCCCAACTGCCTGATCTGCTAGCACTCCTAGACCACTTTGAATTTCGCCCTTGCGATCGTGACAGTTGACTCTGAGGCGACGTCTTGCGCCCTCGTGACATCCTTGGTGAAGGCCGATGGCTTCTGTTATGCTGGGAAACGCTTCGGTCTTCAGAGCCACGCATTGCGGTGTATTTATCGGTTCGCCGTGTGTCACCTCTATTAACAGGAGAGTCATAGTTGTCTAGTGCGCGTCCCGTTCGAGGTTCTCGCCCTGGAGAAACGTAATTTCTGCTCCGCTCATCGCGCCTCTCTCGGTACCTGCCTCTGGACTCTGACCGCTGGCTTACATCTTGCCGGCCCATCTGCTCCCCCCGTAAAGGGCTCTTGCGTCGACCAGCGCGTGATGGGCTGCGAGATGGCACGCGGTTTGCCTCCTTCGATCGCAGGTAGGAGGCTCTGCTGCCAAACCTTGCGGAAGGCACATCGTTCCGAACATACCTCTCGTTCCTGTAGGCCGACTCTGCGCTCCTGCTACGACGCGGCAACGGAGAGCGGCTTCTGCTGTGTCGATAAGCTGGATTACGCCCACCTCTGTATGGACGTGGGTCTCGCCCATAGCGGGCTCCAGAAGGACTTCTGCGCCGGTACTTTTCGCCGTAGTCGGGGCTCCGATTGCGATAGGCACGCCGATAATAGTCTGGGCCCCGGTGGGGCCGATTTGGGCTTCTGTAGTCTGCACGGGCGCTACGGCGCGCCACGTAGTTCCTAGATCTGCCTCCCGAAAGGCTCCTTTGTGACTCAGAGCCACGATCATGACCCATGGTGAGAAACGACCACTATCGAGGCCAGTTCACGGGGGAGTTCTCATCCAACTGCGGCGCGCTGCACAAACGGTGGTAGGTCGCTACCAGCTGCCCTATACACCCCTCTGTGAAGCGTTCGATGGGCGTGCGTTTCACGATAGATTCTGCGGTGCTTCTTATCGCCTACACCACAGGAGCTTCGTGGCACCTTTGAAGGTTTACACGGCCTCCCGGAGGCCGCCACCTCGCTCTAGTGAGCAAAGAGGCTTCTTTGTGTTAAATGCTCTGATATCTGACCCTCAAAGAGGACAAGGGATATGATGGCCTCTGCTTCCCAAGCCCGTGCAGTGTAGCCCCCGCAGTGATCAAGTTTGGGTGGGCGGGGGCACGCGGTTGTAGGCGACGAGCGAGAGCACCAGCTTTCTGTGCTATCCTTCGACTGAGTTGACACAAATAATGGCAGACAGTAAACAACACAGTACAGGTGAAACTTGAGCCCTCCTGCGGTGGCATGCAGAAGGAGACATGATTTAAGGCGCGAGGCCAGCACGCGAGACAAAAGCCGTTCCCCACGCAGTCCTGGGTCTCTTAACCCTTTAAAACACGCGAGTTTTTGTTCATTCTCTCAGCCTTGCTGCACCAAGTGGTGCAGCCCCATCGGCGCCGGGTGGCCGTGAAGACGGCAGTGCCCAGCCACAGCCCCACAAAGAGAAATGCATTTAATTCAGTTTGACCCCCACACTTGTTACAGTTATACATGCATTTTGTAAGCAGGTCTATTAGTCTCTTTTATCTCTTAAGAAGTGAGTTTCAGGCCAGTTTTTGCTCGCTTATGAATTGCAGTAGCCATGGTTACCATGGGATCCGGTTCGGAGCGGCTTGTGCTGCCCATGGGCGATGACATGCATACACATTTACGACAAGGGGAACTCATGGATAATGTTGTTCCTCATCTTCGCAAAGGAGGATGGTGAGCCCGTCAAGCGCCGACGGAGCGGCAAACCAGCGACCACAACGCAGCGACGACAACAGCACGGATCGCTGCAGAGCCGTCGAAGCATCACGCAAGGAAAATTTGGTTGCTTTCGTTTGCTCGTTTCGGGTTTATCTGCGATTGCAGTAACCGCGTCCTAGTGATGCCCAACACAGTTCCGCCGATTGTGACGTGCTCACAGGCACTCGAGTACAGAAACGAGTTACTGAGAAGGGTGCGTATCTGGTTGCTCCCCAGTCAAGCTCCTTTACTCTTCCTCTATCAGACTGGGAGGTGCCTATACACCAGCACCGATGCTCGCACGGCTACAGCTGGCGAATAGTCACGGCATGGTGATGACATCTATGCCCTTGGCGCTGCCTGCAGGACCCCAACGTGGATTACCTCATGACGCTTTACCTGTGCCGTGAAGTCGATCCTGAAGATCTTTTTAACCATGCAAAGGCATCGCATGTCGTTGGAGTGGGCTTTGCCTTCTCCGTTTTGGTCGTAGACACCAATTGCTTTGCTTCTGCTGCTCCAGCTGCCCTATTGCATATGCTTCACTCTTGCATACTTCATAGATGATGGAGCAATTCGCATGATACATAAAAACATGCAAAATGATGGAGTCATAAGCTTATCTGAACTCTTTCTCGTGCCCGGGGTCCCTTGTCTTCCTCTGCATCGCAGGTCAAGTTGTACCCTCGTGGTGTCACCACAAATTCAGAGGCCGGCGTGGAGGTCAGCGGTCCCTTCATTTCCGCGACAGTTGTCTCTAAAATTCTTACGTTGGGCGTATCGCCTGAGTCGGGCGGCGGGTGGCAGCTGCGTGTCGGCCTGGAGCTAACTGTCTGCGTGACCCAGCTGGCCTCAGCTGTGCATATTGGGCTGCGTGCAGGACCTGGAGGGGTTTGATGGTGTATTTGAAGTGCTCCAGCGGTGCGGATTAACTCTGCATATTCACGCGGAGTCTCCGAACGCTCCGGCGCTCAAAGCGGAGGAAGGGTTTCTACCGGTCTTTGAGCAAGTGCGAGATCTTTCGTCCCAACGCAGACTACCGTGTCGAACACGCGCACTCCCGCACACACACAGCTGCTACCTTTCTGGCAGCGGTCTAAGACATGATGAAGAGAAATCAATATATTTAGTGTATTAAATCGACAACCCATTGTGCTGCTGTTGTGTGCGTTTGTTAGATACACCGTCGCTTTCCCGATATGAAGATTGTGTTTGAGCACATCTCTACGGCTGCTGCGGTCGAAGCTGTGCGAGGAAAACGGAACGTAGCGGCCACAATCACTGCACACCACCTACGGGTGCGAACGCGAAAGCACACTGTTCTTTGAAGTGAACTATGAACTGTTGTATGGAGTGAAGGGATGTGCTGTGAATTATGCGGTCATCTGAATCACCCGGGTTTCTGTGCGTTGTCCCTAGCCGTACATTGTTACTCTGTTTTTGAAAGCCAACAACACAGCTGCCGGTTTGGAACAACGTGCGCGCATGTTGGAGTTTGCCTCCGCTAACGCGCAGCCCTATTCTGTAGATTGCCACTGTGTGTTTGCTTGGCGTTGCAGCTGACAACGTCAGACGTGTTTGACCCAGAGCACCTTCACAACGACTCTTCTACCAGCGTCGAGGAACGCCGCGTGTTAAATCCGCACAACTTCTGCAAGCCGATCGCCAAGTGTGAAGCAGACCGCCAGGCGCTTTTAGGCGTAAGTGACCTCAGCCTGCCCATATCGCACCCCGTAGCTGACAAATCAGCGAATACACGGCTGAGTCGTTCTTGGGTGCGTGCACATTTAGCGCAGGGAGTTCTTCGCGTAAGCCGCTTTGCACTCAGATGTTGCTCCACTGTAAAGGCTGTCTGGGCATTTGTGCTAACAGGTAATTCTTGAGGGAAATCCCCAGTTCTTCCTCGGCTCGGATTCAGCTCCTCATCCCGTGTCCGCGAAGTGTAGCAGTGTAGAACAACGTCAAACCAGGGAATGTAAAGTAAAGTGCAGTAGAGTGAAGGGAGTGGAGATGAAATGACATAATATTAATTGAATTAAAGTAAAGTGAGAGTTAAAATGAAGAGTGGAAAAATATAGCTCAGTGTAGTAGGGTCGCAGTAGAAAAGGTAAAGTGCAACGCCACCAACGGCAGTACAGCGAGCCGAAGTGAAGTGCAGCTGAGCGTGTACGGTAGAGCAGATTAATTGCATTTGAGCGCATTGCAGTGGGATGATACCACCAGGCTGTATGCTTAGCGAGGGGGGATTCGCTCCGCCTTGTTACCTGCAGGTCAAAGAAGGACTCGAACCCGCCAGCAGCCGGCGTCTATACGCAGCCGTTCCTACTAGCGGTAACTTCACGCTTGCTGTCTTCTCTTAACTAACCACAACAAAATAGCATCATTGTAACAGCTGAAAAGCATCAAGATGCTATTGAACGCAGTGCAGTGACCTAACACTTTCATTACACAAAGTAGTGCTCTGTCGCGTTGTTAGGAAACTTTGCTAGTTTTTTCTTGCGAATATTTAGGTATTTAATTATTCATTGAGCCATTGAACCGTTTGTGCAGTGCGGTCGGGCGGGAATGACGTGCTTCTGCCTCCCTCTTCAAGTTCTGAGGACGCCCTCATCTAACCGTTTTTGTTTGCTTTCTCCTCAGTACCTCGCCGACACTTTCGCCCGCGCGGGTTGCCTAGACAAGCTGCGGGGCTTCGTTTGTGAGCACGCAGCAGCCTTTTTCGGGATACCTAAGAAGGGTAAATATTCGTTTACGTGCTAATGCGTTCGGATAATAACACCCTTAACTCTCGACCGCAATAAGCCTCACTACAAACGAGTTGAAATTCATTAGATTGTGTTTTAAAGTCAATTTTGAGTAGCCGTGCATGCATACAGCACGTTTATCACTGCCGTTCAGCAGCAGGCCTTGACGTCCTTTGGGGGGAACATTCCGCTTGATGCTCACTACTTGCTTATGGCTTTCCATTAGTTGTTTGGTGTATACTTGTTTGTTTACTTGCGCCTGCTGAGCAGAATTGGTAGAGGGGGAGGAATGCGTCGTGTTGGAGCGGGCGCCCTTCAAGGTAAGGCCGGCGGATACTTTGAAATGAAATGTAAACGTGTGAGCACCTCTGCCAGCAAAGCAAAGCAGAAAATACGTTTAGTTTGGTTGGCGTGAACTCCGCAGGTCCCCAAAGTCGTTTGTGGCGTAGAAGGTTCTGGTAGCGAAGTTGTGCCTTTTCTATCGGGTTGCGAGCTCCTATTCACCGCCAAAGTTGTTCCATATTCCCCAGCTCTAGATATCTAGGCTTAATAGGCGTTTGCTAACACAGCCCTGGGGGTCCATGTGAAGTTGGGGCGCCTCCTTGGCATTGCGCTTTAGCCGCTAGTAGATAGCACCCGCTTCACAGTCGCGTCGCCGTCTTTTTTCGCTTAAGAAAGAAACTATTTTCGAACTTGTCCGTAATCTCTACGCTTTTTTGGTCGTACGGTGCTCAGCTTCTCTGTCGGTGTTGCCCGTACTTGCAGCTACGAAATATTCACGACGCAGATGTGAGTATCCGAAACTTTTGAGCCTTGAGAGTCACTCTAATTTTGTTTGCTGATACCATTAGGGGCTGCGGTGCTCGACCACGACGATGATACTTCAGTGTAGTCCGCTCGCTCATGCTCACTAGACAGTTGTGTACAGAAGAACGGTTCCGGTTCACATCCCCTAGGGGTATTTCAAAAATTTAGAGCATGAAGAAGTTCCCATGTTGGGTTGGGAAGAAATGCTCCTTTCGAAGCAGCCTGTTGTTGAATTGAGCTCTGGTTACATTCGTCCAGTCGGCGGCGCCTCATTAGCCGCGAACGCTAACGAAATTCAATATCCCCCATATTCACATTAAATAAAAGAGAAACATTAGGCAGGAGGTTACTGGAGACTCAACATCCCTTCAATCTACTCCCTGATGGTGTACATGCAGATTCACGCAGCCCTAGCCGCCCGGGCCTTGGCCTGCTGTCTCTGAATTTGCGTTACTTTGCTCCATTTGTTTTCGTATTTGCGGCTTGATTTAGCCTTTACACTTATATGAAGATCGATTGTTGTTGCGTAAGCCATTGGAGGGCCGGGCGGGATCGACCGACGGTGTTCCTCTGCCCTGTATGACAGCAGTTTGGATGTTAGACTCCCCATTTTCCTCCTGAACAAAATCCATTAATCATTTTTCTTTGTCTTGCGATTTCACACTTGTTTCAGTTGCCTCGTGTGTTTCCTGTGGCTGCGTCGAGTTCCGTCCTTAAGCGCCTTCCGGTCAGCATATCGCCGTTAGAAGCGCCCAAGTGGCCGCTCTCCTTTCCTAGACTTGTTCAACTATTAGCTGCTGAGGATGTTTCTGCGCGCATCACAGCTGCAGCGGCTGTCAATGGCGGCGATCACAGGCTGCAAAGGCAGCGTCACCAGTGCTGCAGGCCACGGCGACAGTGGAATCATGCAATACTGAACTGGTGAGTTGA